ATCTAAGATTCCAGTCAGATGTTTAAAACACTGTCTCTGTTTCACTCTGACAATGGACTATACTACTTTGTGTGTCCTTAGCGGAGTCAGCTGAGGTATTTTACAGCTGTATGTATCATTTATAATAACTTCTTCACAATGGTATGAGGCAGTTCTCAGCATTGTATATGAAAGTCCTTTAAAGTATTGGCTGCTTTTATTTTTCTTCTTTACATTTTTTAATGTCAGAAACAGAGTAAAAGGTAGAGAAGGTTCCCATCCACTGATTCATTCCCCAAATGCCCAAAATGGTCAAGGCTGGGCCAGGAACAATGCCAAGAGTCTGGGAATTCAATCTGGCTCTTCCCTGTTGGTGGCAGGAACCCAGTTATTTGAGCCTTGAGGCTCCCAGGATCTGCATTACTGGGAAGCTGGAATCAAGAGTCAGTGCTGGGAATCTAACTCATGCATTATAAACTAGGATTCAGGCATCCTCAGTGGTGTCTTGACCATGAAGCTGAATACCTACTGATCCTTATGTGCTGTTTTAAAATTGGATCTGATGCAAGCTAAGAAGAAGCCAGAGACACTGTCTGGTGGCATGTATCTCATATCCAAGTGCATCTTAACATTTCTGTCCAAGGCATCTTGTTCTCTCATAGGAGGAATCTTCAAAAAGTTCATGGAAAATGCATATTATGTAAAAACTATGCACAGATTTCAAAATATTGTTGCACCACAAGTAATGTCACCTCTTAGTTCCATTCCAGGGCCAACTTTTTGCAGTGCCCTTGTATGTATGGCTGCATGGACTCCTGTGTCCACTCTCACCTCCACATCAGCCCCAGTGTGATGTAATCAAAACAGCCATCAAATCGTGTCACTTTTCTGTTAAAAATTTTTCCAAAGCCTCATTCTAAGTAGCAGAAAAGAAAAGCTCCATTCCTTTCACAGGCCTCTGAAGTTCTCCCACATCTTGCCCCAGTACCTATCTCAGGCCCTACACTGGCCTTAGGATAGTTGCCCACACTTGTGCTTGCAGTGTACCAAGCTGATTCCCACTTCAGGATCTTAGTTCGTCTTCTGGACTCACCATAGTAGCTTCTTATCATCTTCCCACGTTCCAGCCGGAATGTCACCCCCAGAGACGGGAGCCTTCTCTCCCTGCAGTTTCTTTGTTCTGTTTGCACTGTACTTGTCACCATATGGAGATGCTTATTTCCTGTTTTTGTTACTTTGTTTCTGCTTTCCCAACTTCATTACAATGTTTATGGTGTCTGGGGCTTTGCTGTATTGGTAGAGGAGTGTTTGGCAGTATTGGCAGAGTGTGGGCCTGGTAAACAGGGGCAGTTACATGGGCCTGTATAGAAGGTTCTCAGCACAGTGCCCTGCTGCTGTTCCTGGGAGGGTTTCTTTCCCATGTGGAATTTCATCATCTCACAATTGATAAAGCAAATCTTAGGACTTGCCCAAGACAACGCAGTTCCTCAGAAACCAAGAGGGACCCCTCAGTCTCATGACATAGATCCTGAAGTCTGTGTTTTTAGGGGGAGGCAGCTTTTCGCCTGTTTTCAGCTCATGTGGACTTGACCTTCAAACCAGCAGCCTTGAGCTCTCCTCTTTGGCGGGGGGCTGTCTGAGTGACCTTTTGATAAGGCCCAGGGCAATGTTTTCATCGCTGACAAACTTGACCACTGCTAGTTTCTTAAGAGTGCAAGGCCTTATGAAAAGAAGTTGAGCTGCCTGTGCCGTAATGATCTCTAATACCCGATCAACTGCAAACAATGAGGGCATTTTAGGGGGGAAATGCTCAAACAAAAAGACGTCTGCGACTCTGAGGCAGTGCTAAACTGGGGCACATGGAAAAGTTCTAGCACGTGGAATGCTGCCCTTGCAACTCCCATGGGGGCTGGGAGGAACTGGTCCGTCCTGACAATGGGCTATTATAAGGGCACCACTGAACCACGTAATCACAGCCCTTTACAAAGCCATAAAAATGTGCCAAATATTGTACAAATGTAAACTATCTGGCTTTGCATGTTAGACTAAAAATTTCCCAGATAACAAGGTCTTCTTATTCTGATCATATATTTCTACATAAAAAGGAAGCAAGGCAGATTTCACCAGTGTGTAACGATGTCATGAATGTATTTGTTGTTCATAAAATTTTTTGTGCAGGAATTCTGCCTGAATATACTATTATTTACTCAGACCTGTGACCCTTTTTTTTTTTTGCATGGAATTTATAGTTTTTCAGTTATAAAGTTAGTACCATTTACATTACAGAAAACATAGAAAAGAACAAAAAAAAAACCACTCATAGTTTCATCATTCAGGGATAATCATTGTGAAGACTGCTAAATGATCAGGAGTTGTCTTGTCTTTTTAATTTTCCCTAGACCTGTGTGTATAAACAGCATTTGAAAACCAATTTAGGATAGCAGTGTACGTACTTTTTCTAAACCTACTTTGTGTTCTCACTTAACACTTAAGAACTTTCACCTTAAATATTTTTTATGAAATCTGGATTTAATGGCTGCCTAGTATCCATCAAAATGCAGTGGTTCTCAACTGGGGATAGTTTGTCCCTCTCAGAAGGCATTTGGCAGTGATTTGAGACATTTTCAGTTGTCCCAACTAGAGCGGGGAGGAGGGGGTGTAGGCTTTAGGCTGTGAGCTAGAGATGTTGCTGAACTTCCTACAATGTGCGGATCAGCCTTCCCCATGCAGAGTGAACTGCCTGGCTCCAATGTTAAGAGTGCAAGAGTACTGAGACTGGGAAACCTGAACTATATGGCTACCTAACAGTTCATCCAGTGACTGTTGTTAGATATTTGTTTCCAATTTGTTATTTTTAGAATTTGATGGTGGAAAATGTATTCTCTGTAAATGACCAGATAGTAAATATTTTAGGGTTTGGGGAACCATAAGGTCTGTTACTCAACTCTACTCTCAAGACAATTACAGCTTGAAAGCTGTCTAGTCTACATACGTGAATGGGCATTATATTCCAATAAAATTTTTTTGACAAAAAACAGGCAGAATATGCCCTAGGATAGTAGTATGCCTGCTCTTGGTTAAGACAGTGTGCTGACGGATGTCCTTGTACCAGACTCTTTGCCCCTGTATCTGATGATCTGCTTAGAAAAGTTCTTGAAAAGTATAGTTGCTGGATGGATATATATTACCTTTTAAAAAGTCACATCTGTTTTATTTCTCATGTTAAACTTCCACCTATTAATCTTATTTTCTCCTATGACATTGTTTATTTAACATGGCTTTCTGAGCACACTTTTGTTACTACCAGATTTGGAGGCATATTCAGGGATTTGGCATGTGAAAGGATAAGGCAGGGTTTGCAATTTTTTTTTCAAGATTAATTTATTTGTTTGAAATGCAGAGTTACAGAAAGAGAAAGAGGGAGAGAGAGCGAAGGAGGGTGGGAGAGAAAGAGCGGGGGTGGGGAGGAATCGATCCCCTGGTTCATTCTCCAAATGGCTGCAACAGGCGGGCCAGGACAGGCCAAAACTAGGAGCCTGAAACTCCATCTGGGTCCATTTTCTGCCTTCCCAGGGAGTTAGATCCGAAGTAGAGCAGCTGGGCCTCAAACTGGTGTTCACATGGGATACAGTTTTGCAGGCAGCAGCTCTACCTGCTGGGCCACAATGCCAGGACCCAGGTTTGCAAATTTAAGTGGCCTCAGAAATCAGGCAGGTTACTGAATGAAGCAGGCTAGATGTCAGTGTGAGAATAAACAGTGCTGGGAATGTGGTAAATGGAAAAGTAAGTGCCTCCTCCAAAGGGGAAGCTACTTCTCAACTCTTAATAGCTGCTCACCCCCTAGGATGCACTTTGATGTTGCAAGATCTTATAATTTATCCAGAGAAACAAGAAATCCAGATTTTGTTGTGAAGACTTCCAAGTTTTAATTTTTGGTGACCGATTCCTAGACTATGAAATACTGTATAGGACAATAAGAGATACCTGTGGTCTGGGCCCATGGGCTAACAGTCTGGGGACCTTTGCTTTGGCTGTGACTCGTTGAGGGATCTGCAGCAAGAAATTAAGGCAAATTGTCAGGCTTCTGGCTATGTGTTTAAGACCTGCAGCATCCCCAAGAGAGCCATCAGAGCTGGCAGTTTCTGGGGAGACCCTGGGAGAAAAGGAAGCTTCATCTCTTGGAGCAGGGTGGCAGGCTGTGAACCTTTTGCCTGGACGGCAGGCTGAATTCCATCCAGAGTTTCTGAATTGAACAGGTAGAGTGAAGGACTGCCACATCTTGCTTTCCTCAGGAAATTTGCAGAGGCTGTAAGAATCCTAGCCTACACCCCTATATCTGCACAGGCTGGCCCCTTGTTCTTTAATTCTATCCTTCTATCTGCCTCAGGCCTCAGTGACACTGGCTCCATCTGTTCATTGAATGAATATTTGCTGATTCTCTACTATGTGCCAGGTTATGTTGTATACAAAGAGGAATTGAACAAATCCTTTAGACAGTCAAATTATAATGATCCTGGCAAAGAGTGCTTGAGTATGCAGGAGTTCTCAAACTTTGGAGGGCATGAAAATCCACCTGGAGGGGCCAGCTCTGTGACATAATGGGTAAAGCTGCTGCTTGCAGTGCCAGCATCCCATATGGGCACTGGTTCGAGTCCCAGCTGCTCCACTTCTGATTCACCTCCCGCTGGGAAACCAGTGGAAGACAGCCCAAGTCCTGAGGCCCCTGTACCCACATGATAGACCTGGAAGAAGCTCCTTGCACCTGCCTTCAGATGGGCTCAGCTCTGGCCATTGCAGCCATTCGAGGAGTGAACCAATGGATGGAAGATATCTCTCTCTCTCTGCCTCTCTGTAACTCTACCTTTCAAATAAATAAATCTTTAAAAAAAGTCCACCTGGAGAACAAATGGGTTAGCATTGATTTTTCCCCTAAAAATGTTCATATATATTTATATATGAATACATATATAAATATTTATTTATTTGAAAGACAGAGTGATAGAGAGGGAGACAGCAGAGATCTTCCATCAGCTGGGTCACTCCCCAAATGCCTAGAACAGTTGGAGTTGGCCTCGACCAAAACCAGGAGCCAGGCACTCCATCAGGGTCCCTCATATAGGTAGCAGGAACTCAAGTACTTGAGCCACCACCTACTGTCTCCCAAGAACATTAGCAGGAAGCTGGATCAGAAGCACGGAGAAGCTGGGACTCAAACCTGCACCTGATCTGGGATGTGGGCCTCCCAAGCAGTGGCTTAATCTACTGTGTCACAATACCTGCCCCCAACACAGATTTCTGAGCTTCATGCCCAAAGATCCTGATCATTAGCTTTGGATTGGCTCCCAAGAATTTGCATTTCTGTTAAGCATTGTGAGTAGCATTGAAATAGGCATTTACAAACCATTATTAAGTTATTTTTTTCAAAGATAAGTATGAAGCCATTGCAGAGTTTTATTTATTTCATATTTTGTAAAGGAGTGATATGATCTGACATATATTGCAAGGATCTCTCTATTCACTGTATTGAAAATAGACTGTACGAGGGCAAATGAAGAAGCAAGTACTAAAGTCAGGAAGTTCTCAATCATCTAAGTGAGAAATAATAATGGCTTGGATCAGATAGTAACAGTAGAGGGTGAAAATTAATCAGATTCTATACATATTTTGAAGATGAAAGCAATACTTCTTGGTGGATTGGATATAGATTATGAGAGCAAGAAAGGAGTCACAGATGGCCAAGATTTGGAATGAGCAACCAGTCCAAAATGTATGGAGACCATTTTTTAAAAAGATGTATTTATTTATTTGAAAAGCAGAGCAACAGGGAAGGAGGGAGAGACAAAAAAGGAGATCCTCTATACCCTGGTTCACTGCCCAAATGGATGCAATAGCCAGGGCTCGGCTAGGCCAAAACCAAGAGCATGGAACTCCATCTAGGTCTCTGACTTGGGTGCAGAGACCCCAGCACTAGGGGCATTTTCCACTGCTTTCACAGGTGCATTAACAGAGAGTTGTCTTAGTAGTAGAGCAACTGGGACTCAAACCAGCACGCATATGGGATTCTGGCATTGAAGGGGGTAGCTTAATGTGCCACGCCACAATGCTGGTCCCTGGAGACCATTTTTTGACCTATAAGAATAGCGATTTCATATGTTTCAACCTAACAGAAAAATAGTTAGCTATTAAGTTGGAGAAGACTGTGGGAGAAACTGACTTGGAGATGTTGGTGAACATGCTACCTGCAGCCCTGCAAATGGTGCTGCAGAGATCAGTCTGGAGCTCAGAGAAGTCTGGGCTGGGCTAATCCAGGAGGCTGGGTTAGTAGACTGCCAGAGCTGGGACTGTAGATACTGTAGGTAGATGAAATCAGTCTTGGAGAGGTGAGGTCCTCTAACATTTAAGAGAAGGAGAGGAGCCAGCGCTATGGCCTAATATGCCAAGCCTATTCCTGCGACACTGGCATCTCATATGGGCTCCGGTTCATGTCCCAGATGCTCCTCTCCCAATCCAGCTGTCTGCTTATGGCTGGGAAAGCAGTAGATGATCCAAGTACTTGTGCTCTTGTATCCATGTGGGAGACCTGGAAGAAGCTCCTGGATCCTGGCTTTAGATCAACCCAGCTCCAGCCATTGTGGTCATGTGGGGAGTAAACCAGCTGATGGAAGACCCTTCTTTCTGTCTCTCCCTCTTTCTGTCTGTAACTCTGCCCCTTACATACATACATACATACGAGAGGGAGAAGATGAGCAAACTAGCAAAAGAAACTAAAAAATGAAGGTAGGAGGAAAACCAAGCAAGAGTGCTGAATTGGAAGCCATGTAAAGAACATGGAATAAGGAGCTTTCCCACTGTTCTTGAAGCAAGAGGAAAGGGGTCAGCGTTTCCTATGAAAGTCCAAAGAGCAGATATTTTAGCCTTTTGGGGGCCATATGGCTTTGTTGCTAGTGTTCAGCTCCTGTGTTGTAGCAAGGAAGCAGCCATGACAGTATGTAAACTAAGGGTGTGACTGTGTTCCAATAAAAATTTATTGACACTGAGCTTTAAACTGTATACAGTTTTCTTGTATAGTAAAATATCATTCATCCCTTGATTTTTTTCAACTATTTAAAAATGCAAAATCCATTCTTAGATTATAGCCCTACAAAAATGACAGCAAGCCAAGCTGGTCTGATGGGCAGTGCAGAGAAAACGCTTTGGGCTTATCAATCTTAGTTCACTTCTAACCTTCCTTAAGGACCTTTTTGTTTGTTTGCATCTGATTTTGACTCTCCTCCATTAGATCAGGATTCATATCCTTGTTTTTATTTTTGGGTAGGGATACCTTTGTACAGATTGTACAGAAAACAAGATTAAGTGTTCCAGAACATATGTTCTGGGCTTATGTTTTCTTCTGTGGCAACATTATATTTGTGCAACTGGGAAGAACCTTAATACTTACCAAATATCGCTCTATACAAAATTTTCCCTACTTCATTTGAGAAAGTTAGCTCACTCTGTTTTACCTCTGCCCTCCCCAGGGATTATACAATGCCACTTTAAAAAACAGAATAGGGTAGGTATTTGGCAAGCAGTTAAGCCACTGCTTGAGATCCCACATCCCATATCGGAGTGCCTAGGTTCTATGTCTCTGCCTTCATATAAAATGAAAATAAATTTTAAAAATAGTACGGAAAGGATCATGGTGTAGTAATGGTGGTGGATATCAGTTGATTGAATGAGACTCCCTTTAGTTTTCTTCAGACTTACTGGGCAAAAGAACATAATGTATCCTCTGAACACAAGATAAGAAATTCGAAGACTTTGTCAATGAGTTAAAATAATTATATCAATTATAAGCTAAAAGGACTATGAAAATCTTCCCTCAATTTTATTCAAATTCTTGTCTATAAATAGTCAATGAAGTAGGACAGCATGTGGATGTCCAAGTGGGCCCTCCCTCTACCCCAGTGAATTCTGTTGTCAGCAAAGTTAACACCAGTATCTACAACCACCATCTTATCCAAGGAGGTGTGCCCCAGGATCTCTTTAGAATGAAACTGATGGAAAATAACTTGCCACTGTCATCCTGGAAGTGTTCTGTTCCAGTTCTTTTGCTGTCACTTCAAGGTCTGAGTGAAGAAAGGAAAAGGCAAAAAGATAGTAGTAGTAACAAAAAAATCTCAAAGCCTTTGGAGTTTTGTACTTTAATTAAATGGCTAATATAATTTTCTATGAAACTTAAATTATAGCAGTAAATACTGTACTATAATGGCGGAGAAAGTGTCTTAGCTTTGTTTTGTGGTCTGAGCTTCAACTGCTCAGCAATATTCATCTTTTGTTATCTGGATCCTTTAACATGGGTAGTTGATCTGAAGATTAAAACATGCCAAAATAATCAGGAGCTCACGACGATGTTTCTGTCCTCTTTAATTTGGTATAGATGGTTTTACTTGCATGCTTGTTGGTTATTTAAAAATTGATAAATTAGGATAGTTGAAGATAGAAAATTACATTTATTTGGCTTTTGAAATTGCCAAAGGGCTGTAGAGCCTTAAAATGCTATGAAGGTGTTGGGGCAGGTTAATGTCTTTTTCCAGCATCTTCTAGATGAGGGAAGCAAGATACACAGAGGTTCTGTCATAGCTACCCATCCACAGTGGTGAGTGACAGCGCCAACTTCTAAGCCAGAGGCCTACCAGCCTCTAGATCAGTGATTCTGAAAGTGTGATCAGGAGGCCCTGGGGTCTTTAAGACCCTTGCAGAGGTACTACCAGGTTAAATCTATTTTGGGGGCAATACTTAGATATTATTTTCCTTTTTCATGCTCATTTCATGAGTATAGAGTTTTTCAAAATCTACCTGGCACATTAATATGTTATCTTTCTGAACCCCAGTGACATATGTGCTAGTGTATATTCTTGGGTTTTCAGTATTTCTCCATATTGATTACTAGTGTGGCAAATACTAATAAACATATAAACACAAAAAAATTGAAGATTTTCAAAGGATCCTCGGACCAAAAGTATAAAGACTACTGTTTCAGGTATTTTGCTAATCCTGTTGGGGAGCTGATCTCATTTATTTCTGGATACACTGCAGGCTTAATTATCATTCTCATAGAATACATAAGAAGTGAAGGCTGGAGAAGTTAATTACTTTCAGCAGGTCACATGAGTAATAAGTTGCAAGGCCAGAATTTGAACCCAGGTTTCAAGTTCCTAACTGCTCTGCTGAGTGTGTTGTCAGGCTCATGGTCACTCAAAGAAGAACTAGGAAATGTCTGGATTTGGATACTAACCTCTCAGAAGAGGAACTTCTCCATGGAACCTAGGCCATCCTCCAGGGATTGTAAATATGAAGATGATACACATTGGTAGAGACCATGTTCTAGTTTGATTTGACCTGTACTATGTGAAAAATAAGACAACTGGGTGTCAATTTTGTAAACTTAGAGCATTTTATTTCAAAAAGAAGTTCAGTGATAGGCATTTGGCCTTGCAGTTAAGACTCATGTTAAGACATCTGCTGCCCACATTGGAGAACCTGGGTTTGATTCCCAGTTTCAGCTCCTGACTCCAGCTTCCTGCCAGTGTGCCTGAGAGGCAGTAAGTGATATTTAAAGTGGTTGGGCCCCTGCCATCCATATGATTAAGCCTGCTTCTGGCTCCAATCTTGGGCCCTGCCCTAGTTATGTCCTGTATTTGGGGAGTTGGCTAGTGGATGGTGTGGATCACTGTCTGTCTGTCTCTCTGTCTATCTCTCTGTTGAATTAAAAAAAAAAAAAAGTTCAGATTGCCAGTTATCCTTGAAAAATGGGTGGACTACATTGGTTTTCCCACCTGGCCAGAGTCAACTGCAGCTTTTGTCTGCTGCTGTGTTGAGATGTGAGGTGTGTCTTCTAATTTGCCGTAGGTACTGCTCCTATTGCCTTCCCCTGCAGCGCGAGTCTCTCATTTATGTTAGTTGGGGTGCTTGGTGTGGAAACAGCTGGAGATGTTCTCTCTGCTGTGCATCAATTATAGGCCATCTGCTTTCAACCTCCTCAAAACTAAAAACAGTAAAAGAGCGAGAGGCATCCCATTCTGCTTACCCAAACCTGGATATAGTAAAGTCCTAACTGACAGAACTGTTGGAGAGCAAGTTGCTTCCTTCCTTCCTTACTAAAGCATGAAATTCTGATTCATTAAAGAATAAGAATCTGCCACTGAATTAACATTTATTTTTAAATGTGCAGTCTTTTCTTTTTTAAGCGTAATAGTGAAATGAGCACATTGCACTCACTGCCCTCATTTTATGTTTATTTTAGTAATGTCTATTGTCCTCATCATTATCGTGTCTGGACCCTTTATGGCACTTAAAATGTCTCTGTGAACCTCTGTGTGCATGTTAGATCAGTCATTTGAAGCAATTTCAGATTTTTGATCTAGAGGACATTTTGATAAAATTATTGAATGCCAGATTTTTATGCCTAAAATATCATCTCCCCATGCTATCATACTTTTTAGATATATATTTGGTTGCTTCATTTCTTCTTTTGCCTTATCTCACTTATGTAAAACACACAGGAAACAGATTTGTTCACAAATATATTTTGGGACTTACACATTGTTTAGCACTTAACGATAGTCAATAGTAAAATGAATAAATATATAAATATAGCAGTTATGTATCTGATAATTGATTCTTTTCTAGCCCCAAGAATTATTAGCAGATTTTAATAAGAATTTCATATTTTCACACAAATATGTTTGCAGTTCTGTTTGCACATTGTGTATTTCATACTCCAGTTAGGATAGCTTCCCATTTTCTGATATGAGGTCAGTGGGCAAGTTATACATCTGTTGAGCTAGGAATGAGGTATACATGGAGCTCCAGATGCATGATGAGTCTGTTGAACTTGCAGGTTCATCACAGTCTTTTCTGTACCAAAACACAGTCTTCTGCAGTCAGAAGTGGCAGCGTTATTCAGCTATAAGAAAAATCTTGTGTAATGGTAGCTTTTAGGCAATGTCTCCTTTAAAGGGGCATCCAGCTCTTAACCTATTGCTGAAAGAGAAATACCATTGTCTATTAATACTACTGGAACTAAAGATGAATAGTGAATCGGCCTTGATCTGACAGTGAGTTTGACTTTGATAGCTCATCACTTAAAAAGATTCTTTTATATTTATGAAAAAAAATCATGACGTCAAGCCAGGGGGAAAAATTGATACCCGTATTTAAGACCAAACTCGTAAGGCTTCCAAAAAAAAAGAAAAAAAGCCCCTTGTGGGAATGGATTTTTTTTACATGCATAACTAATTAGCTTAGGTTATTATAAGCAGGGCTGCTGTGATAAAGTTTCCGGTGGTGTCTCAGGGTACCTTGTTTATAGTGCCTTCTCTATGCCAGTCTTCAAACTGGAATTATAGAAAGTAGAGAGAGGAGTAGTCTACTGTTTCTCGCTGGATTGGGGCCGCCTTAAACGTTGTTATGCTGGAAATGCTAGAATATAACCACTATCAGGTGAGCTTCGTTCTTATTCCTGTTTGGCGTCTGCACTATAATGCAATGAATAGACTAATGCACTTTTGTTATGTTATTCTTATAAGCATTCTGTTTTCAATAACTAGAGATCTTCTCTTTAATACTATTTGTTGTTTGATGCCATAAGAGATAATTCAATGTAGTTTTGAACAAAGTACATGTTAGCAGGATGCTTTATTGCTAGTGTGTGGCTGTGTTCTATCAGCTTATTTGTAGTTCATAAGATTAAATTACATTTATCAAGAAAAAAAGTGACTTTAAAATTGAATACCATTGACATGTGGGAGGCAGAGTGGAGGCAAGCAATTCTAAGTTGGTGTTAATGTTTATAGGAAAGGAGAAAAAATGTCCTGGTGGCTCCACTAATGGTCATGCTTTTAAACACACATTATAAGTGTTAATGCATTTGAGAGAACTGCTTAATCTGGAATTACTTTTTACATTGACTTCTTTCTTAATTAAAATGTTGAAAAATCATGTCCAAATGAAAGTGGGAGGAATTAATCCACAACGGTTTGATTTAATCATTGGAAGACTTCTGTTTATTTTCTACAACCATTTTACTGTTGGTTTGTAAGGAGTTTTTTGGGGTATATGTGTTGTTTAACAGAAAGCTGTTCTGTTTGCTAAGGAAGGTGAAATGAGTTACGTTGCTTCTCCTAGGTTGTTGTTTTGATCTTAATACATCCTTTCAGGTGTGTTGGGGAAATTTTTGCCCTACAGATAGTTTCAAACTTTTAATTATTCGACATGAGAAGAAAGGCAGAAGGTTTCAAAGAGATGTGTGGTTAATTAGCAGGGACATAAAATAGCGTAAAGTACTACCGCGAATCCTACATGTTAGATTGTGAACTTCAATAATATGAAAAATCTGTTAGAACAACGGCTGGTACACAATGAGGGCTTCCTACTTTATTCTGCTGCCCGACTGGTCAGTTTCATGCTTGTGCCTGGAAGAAGAGCTGTCTGCCACTAAAAAATAACGACACTGTCTTCTTTTCCCTCCGTGGCTATGTTCAGGTGCAGACCCACCTCGAAAACCCCACCAAGTACCACATACAGCAAGCCCAAAGGCAGCAGGTAAAGCAGTACCTTTCTACCACTTTAGCAAATAAACATGCCAACCAAGTCCTGAGCTTGCCATGTCCAAACCAGCCTGGCGATCATGTCATGCCACCAGTGCCGGGGAGCAGCGCACCCAACAGCCCCATGGCTATGCTCACACTTAACTCCAACTGTGAAAAAGAGGTAATTCATGTCTCCTCTCCTCTCCTGTTTTCTTACACTAAGTAACTGTCTGTTGGATTATTCCCACCCCTAACTGTGGAGTCTGATTTGTCCATGGGGCCACTTGTCACCAGCCTTTTTTTCCCCTTTTGCCAATGTGGCTGCCGCATTCTAGCCTCTTGTCCCATCACCGGGTTATTGGGTTTACTGCACATGAAAGAGACCCACTTGTTCCCCGTGGAGTGGGGCAGCGAAGCCACTTTCTCCATTTGTTTCTCCTTTGCTATCTGAGTGATCCCTTCTCTCCCATGCCTTCCTTTTAAAAAGCAGCGAAAATACAGGGAGAGGAGAAGGGGAGGTGGAAAAAGAAAAGCAAAAATAGAAAAGGTGTGGGACAGGCGGTGTAGAAGCTCCGCTTGTTGTGAATGTCTGGAATATTATTTTTATTTCCCACTAAGTTAGAAAAAAAGCAAAGCAAAGAATGTGTGTGGATGGACCTGAATAGTGTAGCACACAAGAATTTAAGAGAAGCAAAGGTTTCATTACTGGATATATTCAGTTTCATAATAAACTTGCCACTGCCCATTCAATGTGCTTTTGTAAAGGCTGGATTGGAGACAAGACTCAAACATATCTTTAAGCTCATCACTGCCTCAAAATTCAGAATGTAAAAATACCTGAGAGGAGAGTTGTGGCTTAATACCTGTTATTTCCAGGTTATGAGACAATTAGCCTCATTTTAATAGTTTTACTGTGCCCTGAAATCTTTACGTGAGATCAGGGGTGAATTTTCCAAAGTTCAGTTGATTTCAGTTTCTAGAGGAACTGACTGTTTTCCACGATGCCCAAACCAAACACCCTTTTTCTCTGTCCATATTTGTCATTTAGCAAGATAATCTGACACCAGTTACCCATCATTGTTTCCTCTCTGGTTGGATTCCATGTGTTTGAAAGCTTAGTTCATCTTGTTGCTTTGCCATCAGCCTCATTTGAACGTGTCATGCAGAGTCATCTGCAGATCCATGTCATGGGCTGTTTGTGCTTGTGTTTTTGCAGGGATTTTATAAGTTTGAAGAGCAAAACAGGGCGGAGAGCGAGTGCCCAAGTATGAACACACATTCGCGAGCATCGTGTATGCAGGTACTGAATGACTTGGTAGGCTGAGGATGTAGGATGTAACACTTTGTAATGAGAATCTATATTTGTGGCTGATCACACCTTCTTGATGACTTAAGGTGTTTTTTTTTTCCCCTTCCATTGAATTTTTTTTTAAACAAGAAATCCATGAATAGGGCCACTTTTCTTCATAGCATCTCACGATTAAGTAATTTAGGGAAATTAAACTGAAAATGTGGCTTTGCTCTAAATTCTTTTAAATATTTGAAAAGTGCTTAAAATATATAAATTTTAATAAGTAATGTGTAATGCTATATTTCATTTACATATCATCATCAATGTATGTTATTTGTAAGGTGGCAATTTTCATAGGCTACTAGTATAACCAAGGGAGAGGTGTGATCTGTATGTATTTTATAAATAGAATCTCATAGATCATATATTTTGGAATCTGCTTTTTTAATTTGACTTAAGAAATATTTTTCCAAGTAATTAAAGGTTCTTCTTTAACATCCTACTTAATGGGTACATAAATTATGTTAAATCTGTTTATATGTTTATGCATGTATATAAATATATACAAGAATATACGCAACAAAAATTATTTTTTGCTTTTCTGTACTTCCTGTTATCAGTTTATATCTTTTGTCATACAAGAAAAGAATTTTGTGAAGTGTTATCACATCAAGCCCACTAATTTTTATTTTCTTACAAATAAAATGAAAAATTTACCAAAAAACAGTTGTTTATAAGTCCCTTGACCTATTTACCTATTTACCAACTCAGTTACAAAACTATCTCATAAAAATAAGTAAAACTCGTATACCTAGAAGTGGACAGTAACAAGGAGTGCTACAGTTATTTCAACTGGCTGTCAATTATTTGTATAAGAGATCGCTCAATAGCACTCCTTTTTTCAGTGTTTACTATATTCCTGGCATTGTGAGCACTTTGTATGATTTGTACTAAAATCTCACAAAAATCTATTAAGGCAGTAACTGTTACTAATCTCATCGTATAGATTGACGCACTGAGGTTTTTAAAGTGGGAGAACCCAGGATCCAACCCAAGCCCCATAATGTTGTAGCCTCTCACTGTAATGGGAGTGGCAGAAAGATACCTAGGAGCATCCCCCTGAGGTCTGAGATGACACTGTGTCCCTGTGAAACACTGTGACCCAAGCACAGACGGGCCAGCTAGCTCCAATACATCAGGTGTTTACGAATAAATGTTTTCACAGACTGGTTCTTGCAACTGCTGCAATGCACATGTAATCACTGTTGTTTATTCTCATAACTGATGTTTTGATACTTCAGGAATAAAATTGATCTAGTGGGAATGTCAGCTCCACGGCTGTAATGCTAACCTCGTCCTGGTTTGCTCCTCAGGGAGTACCAAGCACACTGGCAGCTGTACAAGGAGAAACTGATTTTACAGTCACTGTGAGATCAGTGAGGACTAGCCAGTGGCCTGAGAGCCAGTGTCCATTCACCCCTGTGAAACCAAGGAGCTGAATTCCCATTTGTGTTTCCTTCTCCAAGAAGGTTGTGTGAAGAGAACAGAGTGTTGTCTTCAGGGAATAAAGGGAGTGGCAACTGTCATTTAAGATGTGGTTTGGCACAGTGTCTGAGAGCATGGTCAAATTGTGGCTCCAACCCTTTGTTGAAATGTAACTTTCAGTAAGCTGTCATTTATCTCACTTGGAAAATGGCTATTATAATAATAATGCCTACTCTGATTGAGTTATTGTCAGGGTCAGTAACCTAGCCCATGAAAATCCCCGAGCCCAGTGCTTGCCACCTAGTAATCACTCAGTAATGCCGGCTGCAAGCATCATTCCCATCACCCAATAATCTTCAATAATATTCTGAGCGGGAAGAGGCTAGTTGCTTTTTAGAATCTAACAAAAGAGGATTTTTGCACTGGATAAGAAAGGACTGTGGATCTTTATTTGCGTTGCATTACAGAGTTCTGGCTTATTTCTGACTCTTCCATTGCCCATTTTCCTATAGATGGATGATGTAATTGATGACATCATTAGCCTGGAATCAAGTTATAATGAAGAAATCCTGGGTTTGATGGATCCTGCCTTACAAATGGCAAATACGGTATTTAGGACTTTTTTGTTTCAAGAAAATTGAGATAATTATCAGTGCTCTCCCTTGTTCCTGAACTTTCATGTTAACAAGTAACTCATTGAGAAATTTATTGATAATAAAGTAGAGAATCTCAGGATCACAAATAAGTGACATTGACATCAGAAATTAGGAATCTTTCATGAGTTCAAACACCATGATGAAGCTCTGTGATCCCTGGACTGCAAGTGCACTTTCAGTTGAAGGTTTGGTCTCCGGTTCTCTGACATCTAATGCCTAACTTAGTTTACTGCAACTAAGGAACTACTCTGGGTCATAGTGGCTCACAATGATGCACTGTTTGGCCTGAAAAGGGTTAATGGAGTTTTATTTTTGAATTTTCATTTATTTTATTGGAAAGGCAAACAGAAAGAGACATGTCAGACAGAGAGAGCTCCCATCACGTGATTGACTCCCCAAATGCCTGCAACCTGCAGGGCTAGGCCAGGCCAAAGCTAGGAGCCAGTAATTCAGTCTGGGTCTCCTACATAGGTGGCAGAGATCCAAGCACTTGAGCCATTACCTGCAACTGGAAATGAGATTAGTAGCCGAGCCAGAACAAGTCTGATATGGGATGTAGAAGTCTCAAGTGGTATCCTGACCACTGTACCAAATGCCTGCCCCAGTTAATGCCATCTTTTGTTAAAAAAAAAAAAAAAAGAAATTATTTATTTATTTGAAAGTCAGAGGTACAGAGAGGGAAGGAAAGAGAGAGAAAGATCTTCCATCCGTTGGTTTACTCCCCAGATGGCCACAACAACCAAGGCTGAACCAGGCTGAAGCCAGGAGGTTTTTCCAGGTCTCCCATGTGGGTACAGGGGCCCAAGCACTTGGACCATCCTCCACTGCTTTTCTCAGGCCATCAACAGGGAGCTGGATTACAGCTGGAGCAGCCAGTATACAAACTGCCACCCATATGGGATGCCGGCATTGCAGGTGATGGCTTTACCTGCTACGCCGTGACTTTGGCCCCAGTTAATGCCATTTTTTAGAGGACGTTATTAATACTTCCCAGTAATGGAGGGATATTGGAGTCACTCTTCTTAAATTTTAGTTCTTAAGCCAGTGGTCATCATATTTACTCTTATATGTTAATTATGTTACTTATTTTTATCTATTATTTGGAGCTTTGTCTGCATTGTTCATTCTTGCTTCAATAGTCTTGCATAAATAATAAAGCTTAGATGTGTCAGAGCCCTGCCTGTACAGTAGGTCTTTGAATTTAACTAGTGTTTAAAAGACTAATGTCTGTTGAGGAGAAGGGCAGAAAGGGAAGCAGTTGTTTAATGGGTATGGAGTTTCAAATGTGCAAGATGAAAAATTCTATAGGTCAATTTCACAACAATGTGAACATGTATACTTTAGCACTACTGATCTGTATGCTTAAAAATGGTGAAGTTGGTAAATATTACATTGGGTTTTTTTATGCAGCAAAAAAAATTTTTTAAAGCTAACTTCTAAAAATAAATTCCCTTAGCCAGGGAACAACTTATTAACCCTTACTTATTTACACAAAAATCCTCAGTAAACAGTTTTCATTGATAGCAGTTTCTTTTCTTTTCCATCTTGGAAAAAAATTATTTATTTTGAAAGTCAGAGTTACAGAGAGAGAGGGAAGGAGACAGATGGCTGCAGTAATCAGCGTGGGCCAGGTCCAAATCCGGAGCCAGGAGCTTCATCCAGGACATTCATTTGTGGGTGGCACGTGTCCAAACACTTGGATGATTTTCCCAGGCCATTAGCAGGGAGCTGGATCAGAAGTAGAGCAACCAGGACATGAACTGGTGCCCAGATGGGGTGCCAGCATTGCAAGGGGTGGCTTTATCTGCTGTGCCAAAACACCTTGAACTCTCACGAGGTGTGAAACCCCACCCCACCATCACCCGCTCCCTTGAAACTTCAAGCTTCTTCTTGGAGATTTAGACTCTGTCTACTTCCACCCATGTAAATGTACCTCCTGGTTTGTGAAGATCCAAGTGTTCTGCCATGCTGATAAACGTTTCCACGCCAAACTCTCCCCACTCTCAGTGAACCCTTGGTTGGCTTCCATGAAGCCCTTTTGCTTCTATTTTAGTGGATCCCATGAGACCGACTATACTTGTCAGCCGTCAGATCCTAGGACGAACATGAACAAAACACTTGGGGGACCATATGCTAGGGAATTTACAGGTAGACTCAAAGATGTGTTTCACTGCCCTACTAGCATTAATTAGAATGGCCCAGACATCTCAAAAGAACTTTGCTGTGATGGTGGTCATTTTGCCTGATTACTCAGGAGGAATGTGGAATTGACATAATTTCATAAAGTCATTGGTTCTCCTGCCCCAAATGTGAGGATTTTTTAAGTCATCCAATCCAACCTACTACTGTATTCATTAACTTCCTCTTGCATATCCTTCATATTCCCCACCCACAAACAAACACACAAAAAACAGGCACCCAACTTCTTGGAAGCCTCCAATAAAGGACTGTCCTTGGCTCACTAGGGAAACATTGTAACACCATGGTTAGGATTTGGAGATTTGTGACCTGTCCTGGGTTCAGATCCAAAGACTGCCATGTTCTCTGTGACCTCTCATGTTTTTTAGCTTCTTTAAGTCCTTAGCTTCCCCTTCTATAAAATGAGGCTATTCATTATACCTACTTCATATGGTCATCTCACCTGATAAAAGTATGTATAACATTTGGCATAAGAAATATAAGTTGTACTTTACATCATCTAAGTTATTAAATGTGATCTGTCAATTGTTATATCAATTTCTTTATTCATTTGATATTCATTGAGCACCTATAATGTGTCATGGCCTATATTAGAATTATATTACACTTCACACTGAGTCTCTCTGTAAATTTCAGGAATCCCAGGTTGCTTCATGGAGAACTTTTCCACGTGACAGCAACCTTTCTGAAGATGATTGTCATGACCCAGGTCTCCTTTCAGTCCACATTAGCATTGAGGTCTTCTTCTTTCATTATCTGATTATTTCTTTTTTTTTTTTTTTTTTTTTTTTTTTTTTTGACAGGCAGAGTGGACAGTGAGAGAGAGAGAGACAGAGAGAAAGGTCTTCCTTTGCTGTTGGTTCACCCTCCAATGGCCGCCGCGGCCAGCGCGATGCGGCCGGCGCACCGCGCTGATCCGATGGCAGGAGCCAGGAGCCAGGTGCTTTTCCTGGTCTCCCATGGGGTACAGGGCCCAAGCACCTGGGCCATCCTCCACTGCACTCCCGGGCCACAGCAGAGGGCTGGCCTGGAAGAGGGGCAACCGGGACAGAATCCGGCGCCCCGACCGGGACTAGAACCCGGTGTGCCGGCGCCGCTAGGCGGAGGATTAGCCTAGTGAGCCACGGCGCCGGCCCATTATCTGATTATTTCTGAACTCTTTGTAAGATTGATGTAGCATTTATTTAAAACTTGATATATGGCCAGCACTGGGTGAGGTGCTATGGATGCAAGGGTAGATCGGGTACTGCTTCCTGTCTGCCTGGAGCTTATAACAGTCTGGAAGAGGTAGATCATCTTTGGCTTTGCCTGGAGAGGCATAATTCAGGACCAGAGAGGTCGTTTCAGGGAAATTCTCATGAAAGATCTCCTGTGCAGGACTGAATTAATCCCCAGCTGGGAGAGGAGTACCCTGCAGGTGCCTTCAAAAATCACTGACTTTATCCCAGCAACCATTTCTCTGACTTAGTCCCCATGCTGAAAAAGGCTAAATGTGGCCTCATCAGAAACTTGTTACACAAAAACTACTGCATTTTGCTATTTAGGGAAAGACTTGGTTGGTAGGAACACAGACTCGGAACCAATCATCTGAGTGCATAATCCTGAGTCAGTCAGTGACCTCTGCCTCAGTTTGTCTGTAAAATGGATAATAATAGCATTCACCATAAGATAATTAATGTGAGAATTATGGATTATTGTACAAAAAGCATACAGAACAAGTGTTCCCTAAATGTAACTAGCCTTATTCTTGACAAACCTGGATTTTAGTGGTGAAAGTTAAATAACAAACCAAAATAACCTATTAATAGTTTCATTTTCCCCCATGGTAAGATTTAAATTTTAATACTCTTCATATTAGGCATTTTTCCTTTTATTTTATTCTCTGAAATGCTTTATTTCAAGTTAACTGTTTTTTAAAAAATAAAATGGAACGCATTGCAAGGAAACTATCCTAAGGGAATTGAAGTCTAGAAATAACTGTTCTGAGAGCACAAGGGCCCTCTTGTACCATCACAAACAAAGAATAAAAGTTCCAGTTTGCTTGTGTTAACAGTGCTCAATTGATATTCAGAGAAGAGGGCTGTCCAGAGAGAAAAAAAATGATAACATTTTACAATAATCACTTACTTGGAAAAATATTCATTTTGGTGGAGCAGAACATTGAGGAGCTCAGTTCAGCCCTCGACTGGCACACAGACAGAGGCGCATCGCCTTTTGCTCTATCTGTCCCAGTTACACTGTGGCTTTCGCCTGTCCACAGTGCAGCCCACACTCTGCAGGTGACATCTTGTCCGTCAGCTGAACATGCTGGATGAAACCCCAGCAAACTTGCAAAATATGCATGTTAGCCGCAGATGTCTTCTTTCTTAGCTCCAGAAGTGTTACGTTGACCTCATTATGATGTTACCTTTATAGATGGTGGAATTTCTCTAAACCCAGGAGAGGAACCACAGAATCCTTTCTTAAATCAAGCCTGGCTTGGAGGCCAGTTTGTAATTAAAAAGCCATATTCTTTTGATCAGACTTCCTTTTGGTAGTTTCAGCAAATAACAGCCATGAACACAAAGAGCCTAAACCACCACTAGGACACAGTCTCCCAGCTGTGGCACTGTAGACATCTGGGATGGGCAAGTCCGTCGTAGGGGGCTGTCTGTCCACTGTGGGATGTTCGGCAGCTTTGTTGTCATCTGCACACTAGATGCCAGAAGCACCCTTTTCTCCCAGGTGTGACAATCAAAAATGTCTCCAGATATTGACCCTTGGGGAACACAAACACCCCAAGGATAATAATTGGTCACCTGAGCCTTTCAGGCCCCCTGATTCCTGTGCCCAGATTTGCATTACAGTCTGGTAACACTGGGGTCCTGAAAATTGACAGGGTAATTGGTAATTACAGGATGTAAATCTCAGCACTGTTAATTTGTCATTTGGAGTATCCATATTTGAGTAGTGAGCAACTGGATTTTTATTTCCTCAGGTTCAAGTAGAGATGAATAGTAAATTGACATTTCTCATTGGTTGACATTAGCATGTTAATACAGCACCTCAGTATTGCTGTTAACGTGGGGTCTAGGCCTCCTACCAAAATCTTCCATTCAGTCATGGCAAGGACTTTGGCTTTTCTTTCTGTAGATTCAGTATGATAGCTTACACAAAACGCCATTCTGGGTCTGTGCCTGGGCCAGAGTAGGTACTCACAAAATTAATTGCTCCCCAGCAAGATATTCTGGCGTGCTCTGTGCTGCCCACTCCTAAACAGTACTGGAAGGCAGTGGAGGTGGGAAATATTTTGCAGAAGTAGACAGAGGGGGTATATAAGCTGCTTCTTCAACTGAAATAGTGATGTCTGTGACCTCAGTAGAATGCCTGATGAGAGAGCCTGTTTTGGAGATTTTAACTCATCTCCCTGATTGGTGCATACTACTGTCAATCCATGCCAATCTCTGCAGTCCTTTCTATAGTTACCCACCCGTTTCTCCCTTGGGGTCCATTTTTCCCTTGGGGTCTCCCTATCGTGGTCTCTGTCTCCCCTATCTCCACCTGTCTATCTGGGTATTTTTTCTTATCTCTGTCTCTCTCTCTCTGTCTGATATGTGCCTCCGTATTTCTCCTCTTTCCCTGGTACCTCTCATTTCCTGTTTTTTAATTCTCTCATCTTGTGAGAAAGAGCTCTCTCTCTTTCATTCTAAATTTATGAAACATTTAATACATATCATCTTCCTTTAGAATATAGTTAGAAATTGTGTTGCACCAAACAAGCTTAGAATTGGTTGTCTGTTCAATAGATCCATTGATGACTTAGAAATTTTTTTAAAAGGTAGCTATACCAGGGCGACGCTGTGGCATAGTGGGTAAATCCACTGCCTGCAATGCTGGCATCCCATAGGGGCGCTGGTTCGAGTCCTGGCTGCTTCACTTCTAATCCAGCTCTCTGTCTTGGCCTGGGAAAGCAGCAGAGGATGGCCCAAGTTCTTGGGGCCCTGTACCCGCTTGGGAGACCCACAGGAGGCTCTTGGCTCCTGGCTTCGAATCGGCCCAGCTCCAGCCATAGTGGCCGTTTGGGGAGTGAACTAGTGGATGGATGATTTCTCTCTCTGCCTCTGCCTCTCTGTAACTCTGCCTTTCAAGTAAATAAATAATTTTTTTTAAAAAAATAACAACTTGGTATAAATCTATGAAAACAGACAGTATAGTTTTAAAAAGCTAGCTGTATGGTCACTTTCCTGTTATTTATCCCTAACAAATCTTAATATAAGCATGTTTTGTATATAATTTGCATATGACACATAACATATTTGATCTGCATTTCTAGACCTATGGGAATAATTTTCTTTCAGCCTATCACTTTGAATTTTCAAGTCATATTCTTTGTTAAAACCCAAAAGTTTTCCCATACTTTGAAACTCCAGAAAGACAGAATAAAGCTTTGGAATCCAGAGGAGTTACTGGATATCACAGCAGCTTCTTTAGCCTTTCACAGTGTTAAGTTAAAGCAATGAGAGTGCCTTTCAGGTTGTGTTAAGTTGGGCAAGAATAAAACTGCACATAAACAGAACAAGGCTGACCTTGAGAAGGTGAGCCTATTTCAAAGAATGCCACTAAGTAAAATGACAGCTAATAATCAAAGCCACCTTTTATCGGTTTTTTAGCCATACAGCTTTGAAATATGGTTCAAGTACATTTGCAATTCATTTGCATGTGTGTAGGGAATAATGTATATTAGGTATTTTGCACATACCATAAATGCTGCCTTACCATAGGAGGAGCAAAAGAGGAAACTGTGCCATGCTAATCTGTCTGTCCTCCCTGCCTCCACTTATCCTATTAGAGCGAGTATCAAATTAGTCTGTGAGATGGGAAATATATTCTATACATATCACCCCATACCCTTTTCTTTAGCTAAATGTTTAGTTCATGTGGCATTTATTTAGAAGCCATCATGGAATAGATGGCAGTTGCTACTGATGAAAGAAGTGCATTTACTTTTTATTTCTTGGGTAATTTTCATCTATGTGTTAATGGTCATTTGAGAGGATGAAAGGTACTATAAATATAGAGTATAATCTTTTACTAGATACCTGTTGATAGCTGAACATTTTAATTGCACTTAACTGTTCTCTGAATTTACTTCTCTTAGATGTAAAATAAAGAGCATGTTTCCAAATAAGGGAAGGACTAAGTAACAAAGTCTTTACCTGGTAACCACTGTTATAGGGATTGTTTAATCTGGAATTCATTAGTGTCTGTGATAGAAGTAGTGGGTCACTCAGCTATTTTTCCACTGTTAATATTTAGAACTTTGGGCTAGGTGTTTGGCATAGCAGTTACGAAGCTGCTTGGGATGCTCATGTCCCATGTTGGAGTGGTTGAGTTCTCATCCCAGCTTCCCTCTCCGTTCCAGTTATCTGTTATGCATCCTGGGAGGCAGCAAAGGTGGCTCAAGTACTTGGGTCCCAGCCCAGGCCTGGCTGTTGCCGGTATTTGGGTAGTGAACTAGCAGATGCGAGATCTTTCCGTGTCTGTTTCTTTCTATCTCTTTCTCTGTGTGTCTGTCTTTAAAATAAATAAAATAAATACATTAAAAAAATTTGTAAATATATTTTGAATTTTAACTGGAAGAGGAAATATCTTGATTCTCTACAAAAATGAGCAATGTAAAACTGCTGCAACCTGCTACAGGGAAATGCATGTAGAACAAAAGGAAGTTACTGTCAGGAGAAAATGAGTTCAGTACTTTGAAACATTCAATTAAAAGCTAGAGGGGGGGAAAAAACTTAAGCTAGGTGGTTAGGAATGCTAAATATTTCCTTTTCTCTCTCGCTCTCTCTCTTTTTTTTTTTTTTTTTTGAAGCTTAAGTTTTTTTTGTTCTTTTATTAAGGTCTATGGGCTCCCTCTTGTGGTTTTGAGAAAAACTTCAATTTCAAGGAAACGAGCTTTTACTTAGTAATAAGCATATTACTTAGTAATAAGGAAACTGTTTCTTTTCCAAGAAGAAATTTTTTTCAAGGCTTTTCCTTATAAAAGAAAAATAAGAAAGAAAGAGACAGAAAGAAGAAAACTGACTGAAGTAAAAGTCTATTTGGTTAAAATGTGACCTCACATAGAATCCTATCTTACAAGTGTTGGTATTGTATATAGCAGGTTAATCCACTGCCTAGAACTCCGGCATCCCATTTGGGCACTGGTTTGGATCCCAGGTGCTCCATTTCCAATCCAGCTCCCGATTCAAATGCTTGAGTCCCTGCACCCATGTGGGAGGCCCAGGTAAAGTTCCAGGTTCCTAGCTTTGGCCTGGCCCGGACCCCACAGTTGCAGCCATATGGGGAGTGAACTATGGACAGTCTTTCTCTCTTTGTCTTTCCTTCTATCTCTGTAACTCTGCCCCTCAAATAATAAATCTTTAAAAAAAATAATTCTATTTTATGACAGCTTAGATTTACTAAACATCTATTACATGCACCTGGTTATATTAGATAATGTGTTTGCTACATTATCCATAGTGCCCGTGCTCAAAATAAACCCATTAGCTTAGGTCTATCACCATTTTATGAGTGTGAAATTCTGTCCTTGCATGACTCTCAAAGAGAATGATACCATGTAACTACTTCAGTATCTGTGAGTGGGTGAAAAGGGTAAATATTTCATATTTTCTTATTTTTAAAAATGACTTCTTGTAACACATTATTTTCCATAAATAAAGCCTGAAGAACTTAAGAATTGTTCTACAGTTCATTTCTGTTTTTGCTTCTCTGTCTCTCTAGTTACCTGTCTCTGGAAACTTGATTGACCTATATGGCAACCAAGGCCTTCCACCCCCTGGCCTCACCATCAGCAACTCCTGTCCAGCCAACCTTCCCAACATAAAAAGGGAGCTCACAGGTAAATACATAACAGATAGCAAATATGCCTCTTACTATGGATTTTCTGTTAACATTTTGATTAAATTGTCAACATGAAGATATCAAGACTATATGTAACTCATGGATGTCCATCTATAAGTCTCTGCAGCAGTTAAAACTTGGTGCAGTATTTCAGGATGGAGGGTTTATACTTGAAAATCCTGCTTTCCAGGATATTCTGAGATACTGGGAATTGTGGCAACTATTAATGAACAACGCCAGTGACTGTCTGTAGCCCCTTTGGTTTGAGGGCAGTAGACAGTGTTTTCAGCTGCAGATGTCTCCACCCAACCCTTGTGTTTATGTTCAGACCCCCAGAAGCATCTGAGTTTTAGAAGCGAGTTTTCCTTTGACACTCATTCATACCCACTGTTGGGATAGGGTAAGAATATATTTCTTACATCGTTAGATGCCTCCTGTTACTGTTGCTATATCACATACAAAGATAATTTATTATACAAAGGAAAAAAATTATAAAATAGAGCAATGGGTATTGTTTGTTCTTGAGGCATGTGTGAAATACCTATTTTACCACTTTGTTTTAATGCTTTAGGGAAGGCATCTGGCCATTAAAACATGACAGAAACTCTATTAGAACTGGCATTCTACCATGGTGAATTTTATGGCCCTTACCCCTCCCTCCTTTCATTATTTGGTCCTTGCATCCTGCAGGATTGGGTGAACAAACTGAGACTACGATGTGGTACACAAAATCCTGGTCTGTTCAGGAAGGAAATTGTGGCAGGATAAAGGCATTTTATTTAAAAAGCATTGATTTGGGTTTTACAAGGTAATTAATAATTCAAAACCATCTGAAGGCAAAAAAAAAAAGTAGGTACTATACTACAAAGGAGAGGTACCATGGAACAACACACACACACACACACACACACACACACAAAGAAAAAACAAATCATTGAACTGGAGGGTGTAAATGTAAAAGCTATCCACCATTTTTTCTACATGAGGAAAAAATATAAAATGATTGAGATTGACCATTCCAATTGAAAGAATTCAGCTTCTGAATTGTGTCTTTATCATTACATACACAGATGTGTATATATACTCATACAGGCTTAACAATGGGGCAGTGTCCTGAGATATGAGTCATTAGGTGATTCTGTTTTTTGGGACAAGCCATTGGGTGGACTTACACAAACAGAAAGCTATGATGTTTCTGGGTGATAGAATATTACTGGTCTACTGTTGGTTATGTGGCCCACTGTAGACCAAAACACTTTAAAATGGTACATGAATTTATGTGCTAGTATACGTGTGTACATATATAAATACATACTGTGATAATTGTATATGTGCCTCACTGGCTATAAATTTTGCTAAAATATTTCTATTTTGAGGTAAAATTCTAAATTATAGTAGAATTTAGCACTTAGAGTGTTCTAAATCCCTGGATTGGACAAACAAAACTTTTTCATTATTGTTTGTATTATTTTGTTTTAGTCTTTGTAAGATGAGAAGTAATACCATAGAGATCTCAAGAGAGCTGCTATGCCACTAGAACTTTCCAAATGGAATCGCCACCAAATGCTTCTTTATCCTACTAGTATTCTTGATTTTGTAGACTCAAACTGGGAAATTGTGGTTCCTAAGAGTCACTAAATAATGTTGTTCTAGCAGGTTCTAATAGAACCTGGCTCCACACTCTGAAAAAATGAGTTCCTATCAATGAACCATCAAGAGACCATGCAGATTCAGTTTGGGAGCTTTCGTACTCAGTGTCCATGTCAGTGTGTTTTACAATGGCACTAAGAAATACTAAAAAGTTCTACAGCCTGAGAAGAAAATTTGACTTCTGATAATAGAGTATCAGTAGCAAATTTACATAGCTTTCTAGATGTTTTATTCTTGCTAGTACTTGTGTATGTTACAGTGAGCTATAAATTGTTGCTATTGCTCTTTGCCATTTTGTAGAAGCTTCCCTGTGTTTAGAAAATTAGATGCTTTGTAAGTTTAATTAATGTGTCCCTTGAACAGTTCCAATTTCTAATTACTTCATTCACGTGCACAGCGTGTATTTTTCCCACAGAGTCTGAAGCAAGAGCGTTGGCTAAAGAGAGGCAAAAAAAGGACAATCACAACTTAAGTAAGTTGGTTTTATTTATGTTCATGAAACTTGATATTGGAGTTAATGTTCCCCATATATAACATTTATTTTTCCAGAAAATTTTTGAGGGAAATTAGTTTCTATAGCTTTTAAAGGTAAATGTCATAGAATAGAATTGTATTTCAGAGAACCAAGGTATATTAGGATACTTTAAAAAATCTGTGGAAAATGAAATTAACAAATAAATATACTTCAATGAAAAATCATTTGAAATCCATTCATATGAGGACCTTTGAATGTCTGAAATATGTGTATTATGAAAAATATCTGTATGCATTGCAAAATTTTTAGACCAAAACAATTTTTCTTTTAATTGTTTTTCCATGAATTTTGTCCAAGCATTCATGTATTTTCCTCCATTTTTTATCTTCAAATTTAATTTCATATGTATACTTGTTTTCAGGTTATAAAGAGCTTTTATTTTTATTGTTGATTACAGTGGATTTTTTTTTAAGTGGGAGAGTTGATCCCCAACTACCCAATTATAAGTTCTGCTCACATTGGAACTTATTAAAAGGGGCTTATGGGACCATCTTCTCCAGTGAGATTTGGAAGAAGAAAAAAAAATAAGTTAAACAGATCTGAAGGGAAAGAATGGATGAGGAAGCTTCCCAAATTTTTTTCTTTCTTTTTTTTTTCTTTTAAAGATTTATTTGAAAGGCAGAGTTAAAGAGAGGCAGAGAGAGAGAGAGAGAGAGAGAGAGAGAGAGAGAGAGAGGTATTCCATCCGCTGGTTCATTCCCCAAATGGCCACAACGGCCAAAGCTGGGCCGATCCAAAGCCAGGAGCTTCCTCCAGGTCTCCCATGGGGATGCAGGGGCCCAAGAACTTGGGCCATCTTCCACTGCTTTCCTAGACCATAGCAGAGAGCTGGATCAGAAGTGGAGCAGCCGGGACTCAAACCGGTGCCTGTATGGGATGCCGGTGCTGCAGGCGGTGGCTTTTCCTGCTACGCCACAGTGCTGACCTTTCCTAAATTTCTGACTTTAACTTTGTCTTAAAAAAGAAAAGGTCCTGTAACATTAAATATTTTTATATGTTTAATTAATTCTTAACCAAATCTTCAAACTTTTTCCTAGGAGAACTGAAATTTTTGCTTAATATGAACACATAAAAAAGACTGTAGAATGGGGGAAAAATTGTGTTTAGTGGTAGAAAATGATGTGTGAATTTCTCATCTCAGAGCCCTGTGTCTCCTTTTCCTAAATGGACTTTTAGGAATATAAGCTAAATATAAAGACTTTCTCCTTATAAAAATGATAGAATAAGGCCAGCACTCCTTTGGTTCCTGGGATAAATAATGTTTGTTTCACTGTGGCCCTTTGTGTGTGTGTGTGTGTGTGTGTGTGTGTGTGTGTATTTAAGAATAGACACGGTGCACAGTCACACGGAGAATTAATAGCACTGTTTTATGTAAGTTTTAATGCAAACTGTGTTGTGTTGTCCATCTTCTGTTGCTGCTTGCTTTTTTCTTTGTATGGAATGGTGTGTTCTGAAGAACTTTTGCTGTTAGAAATCTTGATCTATCTGCTTTAAAAAAAAAAAAAAGATTGCATGGTATTCCAAGGTATGACTGTGTGATACTTAGTAACTGCCCGGCTGCTAGGGGTTTATGTTGTTTCTAGTTCTTTTCCATTATAAAGGATGCTGCAGTAAACATTTTATACATGCCTCTGTGTACAGGAGAGTTAGTTTCTCTGGTTAGGCACTAGGAAACGGGATTGTGGAGTCCTAAAGGATGTTAGTTCTTACTTTTAACAGTTGCTACCTCCCCCAGTTTTCACTTCAGGTGTGAGAAGCTATATCATTTAACCAAAAGATATGGAATAGTAGTATCTCCAAGGTCCCCTCCAGCTTTCACATATTTTTACTCTGATAGTTCTAGATTAGAAATATATAAATAAAAAAACAAAAAAATTGTCTTAGAAATAAGATGATTATTGTCCAAAACTTCATGTCAGTGAGATATGGAAAACTAAGTTGGTTTTTGACAAAACAACAAACTTTCAGACACCTGAGCTCTCAAGATCAAGTTCAGTGTTGTCAGTAAAGTACAAAGGTGATTAGGAGAGTTCTCTGAAGAGACAAAGGGAAGCCAAGGGGATGGTGTCTGGATGGGAATGGGACGTGGTGGATCAGTTGTAAGTTGGCTGACCAGAGAAGTGTAGGCTGAACCATTCATATATCTGGAGAACAAGTATTTTAGGCAGAGGGAACAGCTGCACCAAATCTTGAGTTTTATGGAGCGTGTCTGGCTTATTTGGGAATTAGGAAGAAGGCAGTGGGGCTAAAGGGGAGGAACCCAGATGAATCACAGTAGGGGCTGTGATTAGTAATGGGGGTGTGTGTGGCAGTGTTGTGGTACAGGTTAAGCTGCCACCTGTGATGCTGGCATCTCACGTGGGCTCTGGTTCCTGTCCTGGCTGCTCCATTTCCAATCCAATTCCCTGCTAATGGCCTGGGAAAAGCAGTAGAAGGCCCTGCCACCCACATGGGAGACCTGGAAGAAGCTCCTGGCTCCTGGCTTTGGCCTGGGCCAGCTCTGACTATTGCAGCCATATGGGGAGTGAATCACAAGATGGAAGGTATCTATCTCTGTATCTCTCTCCCTCTCTCTCTGTAACTCTGACATTTAAATAAATAAATATTTTTAAATTATTTTTAAAGGTTTTATTTATTTATTTGAGAGGTAGCTGCAGTCAGAGGGAGAGACAGAAAAAAGGGTCTTTGATCCACTGGTTCACTCTCCAAATGGCCGCAATGGCCAGAGCTGGGCCAATCCAAAAACAAGAGCCAGGAGCTTCTTCAGGGTCTCCCACGTGGTTGCAGGAGCCCAAGCACTTAGGCCATCTTCTACTGCTTTCCCAGTCCATAGCAGAGAGCTGGATCAGAACAGGAGCAGCTGGGACACAAATCAGCACTACAGGCGGAGGCCTAGCCTACCATGCCACAGTGCAGGCCCCCTAAATAAGTAAATCTTAAAAAATAAAAATAATAAAGTAAAGAGGATGGAAAATGAGGTCAGAGGGATAGAAGCCCATCAGATCCTTCCAGGCCACCTTGAGGACTTTGCTTCTTTCGTGGTGAAATGGGAAGTGATTAGACAGTTTTGAGCAAAAGGTTGACATGTTCTGGCTTATGTTTTACCAAGATCCTTCTAGCTGCTCTATTTTAGGTAGACTAGAGAAGGTAAGGAGCAGCAGGCATGGGGCATGGCTGAGACGGAGATACCAGTGAGGAGTACAATTGTCCAGGCAAGAAATGAGGGATGGCATCTCTTAGGTAGCAGAAGAGCTTGGAAGTAGATTCTGGAAATAGTTTGAAGGTAGACCCAACAGATTTGATGATGGATCAGATATGGGATATGAGAGAATGAGAGATGCAGAATTTGATTCCAATATTCTGGTCTCAGGAACTGGAATTATGTAGCTACCATTGAGTGAGTTACCATGGCCTGTAGGTAGAGCTGATTTAATCAAAAAGGATCAGGAGCTTGTGTTTGGACTGTGCATTATACCTCCATGCAGAGACTTCTAGTAGTCTGAATTTCAGGGAGCTGTCTGGGCTGGAAATAAAAGTACAGGAGTCATTGGTATATATGTTACGAAATGAGATTACCAGAAAGCAAATGTAGAAAGAGAAGAGTTCCAAGGACCACGACCTGGGTGCACACATGCACCAACGTGTGTGTTTATTTTTAGAGCATAAGAATAATCACAAGGTATATGTAGGAAACTTAACATTGGGTCACAGGTGACTTTTATTTCATTTTATGTATTTCAGTGTTTTCTGAACTTTTGTAATCATTATATAAACTCATGCTTCAGAGTTTTGGAGATGAGCTGGTAGGTCAGGGATTCAGAAATTTCTTCAGCACTACTGCCCATAACTTAGTGTTTTTATTTTATAAAAACCTAACGATAAGACATAGTGTTATATGTAGCTGATTAATCATTGAATAATCCCTCAGGCAAGACAAACTGAAATTTATATTGGGAAAGCAGTGAATAATCTAAGTGTACAGAATATTGGTGAGTCAAATGTAAATATAAGGATATTTAAAGTAAAGTATTAACAACATTAACCCAGTTTATTAGACCTTACATTCTTTGAAATTTATGTGCTAGACTAGGTAAATTACAACATCTATTAGCTCATATGATCTACCAGTTCATCCTTCCTTAAGGAGATGACAATGTAGTTGAACATATAGCTGGGTTTATAAAATAGGACTGTTGCTAAAATGCATGCTATACTTAAAACGCCAGGCTAAGTTTTAGTATGGTACTATCTGGTATAGTAGCCACTCACCACTTGTGCCTTTGGAGTCCTTGAAACATGACTGGTCCAAATTGAGATGCGTTTTAAATGCAAAGTACACTCAAGATTTCAAAACCTTAGTATGAAAAATTGTAAATATCTAATTTTTAAATTTTTATATTGATCACATATTGGATATAATGGGTTTAAGAAAACATTAAAGTTATTTTAACCTCTTTTTACTTTTTTGATGTAGCTACTAGATAATTTAAAATTATATAAGTAACATATTTCAGTGAGCAGTGCTGGGCTAGATCAGAGGTTTTTTTTTAATGGCCCAGGAGCTAAGCATGATTTCAGATGTTTACATGGTTCAAAAAAATCCTTATAATAAGAATATTTTGTGACATGGAAGTTTTATACAATTCAAATTTCAACATCATAAGTAAATTCTAATGGTTTTTATTAGTAGAGTTGCATTGCAAAAAGTTGTATTCAGTTATCATTATTGTATTTTTAATTGATCCAGTAAAAAATGTGAGTTGGTTTCCTCTGGTTATACAAGCACTTACATAGTATGTTCAGTTTTGCTGCTTCCCCACAAAGCCAGAAGTACTTAGGGAGGTTTTCCAGGTTTGCTGACCCCTGCTTTGCAGAATTGGGTTCAAATTTGGACTGTTCACCCATAATTAGTTGATGTCCTTGCCACATTCCTGATAGCTCCAAGGCAGTTTTGTCATTTGTAATTAAGGATAATAATTCTAATTCCAAATCAAACAAGGCATTATATAGCGAAGGGTTTGGTGGGTGATAAAGTTCTAAGCAAAGGTGGATTACTTTTTATAAGTGCTTTATTCTTAATATCAAATCACAGTTTAAGAAAAAAGAAGGTTCAGGTTTACATTGTTCTGACCTGGTGAAATTAATATGCACATGCCTTTAATGAGATAGGCTAAATGCATATGTGGCACTGTTACTAATAGCCCTTTCCTATGCTCTTTTCTTGAAGTTGAACGAAGAAGAAGATTTAACATAAATGACCGCATTAAAGAATTAGGTACTTTGATCCCCAAGTCAAATGATCCGTGAGTACAATTGCATGTTAATCTGCATCATATATTTTTTATACCTTAATGTTTTTTCATATGTTGCAAAAAAATGCAATTATAAAAACTAGGGTAAAGAAGTGTCCTCTCCCCTTTTAGTTCCGTTCCTAAATACTTTGTATACTTTTCTTTTGGTTAGTCTCATCAAACTAAAATTTTAAGAGAAATACACTGAATTGCACAAAAGAGCTATTGAACATGAGATGGTTAGCTAGGATTGTAAGGCTGTGGCTTTCTGAAATCTGGGAATCCTTGACAAACAAATACTTAGCTACCAAAAAACATCCTTTTACCAATTCATGCGGTGCAGAGATTTCAATAGCTGTTAAAACAAGATTTGTTGACTATTTGCTCTTAAACTTGAACAACACAAGGAGTCTTCAGAACGTGCCTGGAGAACATGTATTATTAAAATCACTATGCATGGGTTTAAAAAGGACTGCACCAGTATAAACGTATCTTTTAATTCCGTCTCCCCTGATATGTTGGAAGCACCCTCATATCACCACGCTGGCACCGAGCAGTGCCTGCAGAGACTTCCAAGTTCAGTGATATTCAAGAGAAAAAGGTCAATAATTTTTATGAAAACTTGTATAGCCTCTAAATGTTTTCCCATTCTCAGGAAAAAAAAAGTGATTTTTAAATCCTCTCATTAAGTGTAAGTCAGCTAATTTGGATTTAAGCTGCTGGTTTCCCTCTACTCCCTTTCAGAAATAACAGCTTTAATTTTCTCAAGTCTTTCCTACCAGCCCTATAGTCATCTGCAACGTCAGCATATAGGACAACAAATACACGATTTTTATCCATTAGAAATGGGCCCATTTGAAGGAAGGGGCTAGAGAATGTATATATTTTAAATGGCCCCCATAGGCATTCTATGAAATTAGCCTTTGAATATGACCTTTTAGCTACCTAATAAAATGTAAAGATGAAATCAAACATTATTCATGCAGAGCTTATTAGATTTGTTATTCACATTATTGTTGGGAACTTGTAACAAAATAAGATAAAACCATTACCTATTGTGAAGTGATTTTGATGAATGTGCAAGCACAATTTCCATCTTCAACATTTTGCTTTCCCAGGTTTCAAGGAAAGGCATTTTCAAACTCAAAACATTCAGTTCTCAGTTCTGCAGCACAAATTTATCCTACTAAAGGGCTATGACCTTCATTTCCTATAGTCAGTCTTGCATGATAGTTGAAATTGAATTCCCATTTTCCTGTTCTTTATCAGCTTTCACTTTTTAGCATATTCTTTTAAACTAAAGCATGTGAATCTCTTTAGTAGCATATTATGAAATTATTGGGCTGCAGTGAAAGCCTCTATTTGCATATCTTCTTTTTCCATTGTATTAGAATACTTATGTGTTTATAATCTGAATTGATAATGATCTTTAATTGTAGGCATTGTTTTAAGATAAAATAGACTATATATAATCTGTATGGTGGTTTTCCCACACCAGGTTTCTAGAATGTGCCTTGGGGATGCTATCAAAATACTTTCCTCTTACCCTCTGTTTCCCCAGAGCAAACCTGCTTTTGTTGTTCTTATATTGAAGACCTCTATACTGTTATGCATTTGTAAAAAAAAAAAAAAAAAAAGCGTCCCTTTCATTACAATAACAACAAAAACTTTGAAAACCCTCCCTTTAAACCTAAAAGTAAATTAAAAGTAAATTGATTAATTGGATTTCACAAAGAAGCAAAACCGAAGATACTTGATTTAAATAATTACTTCTTAAAAACTGAGTGGCTAAGGCAAACATTTAGCCTAGCAGATAAGATACCAGTTAAGATCCCTGCATCCCATTTTTCAGTGTCTGGTTCAATACCCAGTTCTGGCTTCTGACTCTAGCTTCCTGCTAATGCAGGAATGCCCTGGGAGGCAGCAGTAAGAGCTCAAAGAACTGTGCTCTTGCCACCCATGTGGGAGGCCTGCTTTGAGTTCCTGGCTTCCAGTTTCAGCCTCAGCCCAGCCCCGCCCAGGCCACTGCAGGCATTGGGAATGAACTAGCACACGGGAGCCCGTGTTCTCTCTCCTCCTTGCTTCTCTCTCAGTCTCTCCTCTTTGTCTCTTTTTTCTGTCTTTCTATCTCTGTGCCTCTCAAATAAATTTAATACATACACACACATACACACATAGATAGACACACAAACTGAATGGCTACTTGAATACTGATTTCTCACTTTACTAGCCTAGGTAAGGCATCAGTCACTATAATTATGTTTCTCTCTGACTGCTAGTTTCTTTTACTTTGATTCCAGCTCTGAACATTAGCTCACTCTGGTATCTCAGGACACCTCCCTGGGTTGCCATCTTTGGTGCTGGGACCCCCGGGATCAACTCCAGAGAATTCTCAGGGGGCCGTCACTCTCCCTCTCTGGGAGAACTTCTGTTTTGTTCTTCGTCTAACCTATATGAGGTTCTGTTACTGTCATCCTTGTGATGAATATTGTCTATAAAAAGATTCAGATTATAGCAATATAAAGATATTACTTACAAAGTTCATTCACCTACATTGTGATGATGTTCTTATTTTCTCGTATATAAGTGCATTAGAGACATACTGGTTAGGAACTGAGAGGCACCGTACTCTGGCTACGTAGATTTAAATTCCCAAATAGTCTTTAACCAGGTGTCTGACCTTGGGAACAATACTTGTGTTCTTGTGTTTCATTTTTCTCATCTGTTAAAAAGGGGAGAGGGCATCAGAATATGCCTATCTAGTCTAGTTGTTCTGAGGATTCAGTTCCAAAAGAGAAAGAATGGTATAGTGATTTAGAGCAGAGAATCTAGCTAGGTTCCTTAGGTTTCCTGGTTCTGCCACTTCATAGTTGTGTGACCTTGAGAAAATTCCTTAATTTCTCTGTGCCTTAGTTTCTAGTCAATAAAATGGATACAATACTAGTTTCTACCTTTCAGACTGCTATGATTAAATGAATGGAAAGAACTCAAAAATACCTGATACATGATAAATGCTATTGAATATGGCCAATCTGTAATACTGTTTCAGTCATTGTGATTATTATGTTGGGCCCTTAACACAGTGTCTGCTTTGTTATTTGAATTATGTTCTAAATTTTATATAGCACATGACTATAAAGTCCCTTCTTTGAGTCCAGCAACGTGCCTATGAGGTTCGTTGTACAAGTATAACATCACCATTTCAGAGATAAGGGAATGGATACAGAGAGAGACTAGATAATAACTATTTATAACTATGTTTAAGAACATTAACTTTGTGAGCAACTGACCTAAATGTATTCTACCTATGACCTAAATTGATTCCACCATACTCTCTGACTCTTAATTCTGTATTCCATGACTCAGACGAGTTTAATTGCCTCTTTTTCAGCTTGTGCACAATGTCCACACAACACCAGGCGTTTGTGTTCAGCATAATATTGTATACAAAATAGGTCAACAGTGACCACCATGTGGCCAATGCTCAGTGAATGATGGCTGTTACTACTGTACATTTGTTGTAGCATCTTTTAAAAACTCAATGCTTTCAATATTGAATTCTCATTGAGTCTCAAATCCTGAAAAAAAAAAGTCTGTTTCCTCCACTTTTATCACAGAGATATGCGCTGGAACAAGGGAACCATTCTAAAAGCATCCGTGGATTATATCCGAAAGTTGCAACGAGAACAGCAGCGTGCAAAAGAACTTGAAAACCGACAGAAGAAACTGGAGCACGCTAACCGGCATTTGTTGCTCAGAATACAGGTACCTGGCATGTGTTACGTGACGTTTACCACACGTTACTGGCTTCAAGATGGAAGAATATAATGAGCCATAAGGGAGTTGACTTTCATGGTCCTACTGCAGATGATCCTTGTTATTCTTGGATTCCACACCTGTGAATTTGCCAAGTTGTAACAGTTGTAAGCCCCACCCCCACCCCCAATGGGTACTCAGGCACTTTCATGGTGAGTCCTGGACATGTGCAGGGTGGCATAACAGAGTCGCCCATTGCGCTTGCTTCCAAGTAAGGTTGAACAAGCCTGGCTGAAGTCGATGCTTTGCCTTCTTGTTTCAGCTCTTACACTACAAACAAGTGTTCATTTCTTGGTCTGCCAAGTGTCGTATTATCCACATTTTTGTGCCTTTGTTGGTGATTTCACTGTTTAAAGTGAAATTACTTTAAACAAGTATATTACTCAAGTGCCGTCTAGTGTTCCTAAGCATAAGAAGGCTGTGATGTGCACTATGAAGAAAATGCAGGTGTTAGTCTTTTTTTAGGCGTGAATTAAAACGCTGTTGGCTGAGAGTTCAGTGTTAATGAATCAATAACATAGGTCAGCCCAACATACCTGTGAGTTCTGCTGCACATATGAGGATTCACCCAACCTCAGGTTCAAAATTTTCCTGAACAGTATTTCTTTTTACTAAACATATGCATTTTTCCTTGTCGGTATTCCCTAAATAAGTCCCATAGCATTTACATTGTATTAAGTTTTCTAAGTAATCTACAGATGACTTAAAATATGTGGGAAGCAGTTATTTGGTCAGGGGGTTAAGACACCCACTGGGACTCCGGCAGCCTGCATCAGACTATGTGGGTTTGATCCCCTTTTCTGTCTCCTGACTACAGCTTCTTGCTAATGCAGACAGCACTGATGGCTCAAGTAATTGGATTCTTGCCATCCATGTGGGAAATCTGGATTGAGTTCTTGTGTCCTAGCTTCATCCGCGTGACCATCAAAAACATTTGGAGAGTGAATGAGTATTAGGAGCTCTTCCTATTTATTTCTCAAAGAAATAATTTAAAAATTTTTAAAAATAAACCATGTAGGAAGATGTGCATAGATTATATACAAATATGCCATTTTGTATGAGGCACTTGAACATCTGCGGATTTGGGTATCAGGCTAGGGGGCAGGGTACCTGGAACCAGTCTCCCATGGATATAAGGGATGACTACATATTAAATAAGGTGACTTTAAATAGAAACATTCATAAAATACAGTTACATGTTGGTTGGTTGGTGTAAATATTGTGACTGGAGACTCATTGGGACCCAAACCTATATTTCCTCTAGGAGCAGTCCTTCAGTATTCACTAATGTGGTGTTTACAACCACTTTATAGAACATAACTACCACAAAGAACGAGGGTTAACCCTGTATGCTAAATAAAAAGATGACTTAGTATTTGCAGGATGTAGGGAGCACTTGATGGCCAAAGCCTACGTTTATAGAGAACTTAAGAATACCCAGAATATTTTATGATAAGGACATATTTCTTGGAAATAGTTGTAGATGGTAGAATTATAGTGTGTGTGTGTGTGTGTGTGTGTGTGTGTGTGTGTGTCTTTAACCTAGATTATACAGACTTGGAGAAATATTAATTTTAATGCTAGATGTAATTTGTCCATCCTATCCAGTGAGTGTATGTGCCAGGATAAGCAGGAGGTGCCAGGTGCTCAGCTTCTCATTTTGAGTGGGAGAATGCAACTTCCTCTGAAACTCCCCTCAAAAACTGACTCTTTGTTATTGATTAAAAGGGCTTGAAAGGGTAATTTTACTTGTATGTGGACTGTGAACACAACCTACCCTTAACAGCTAATGGGACTGTATCAGGAGTGGGCATTTGGCCTGGCAGTAAGACACCTGTGCCCCACATTGCACAACCTGTGTTAGAGTTCTCGTTCCAGCTCTCGACTTCAGCCTTGTGTTAATGCAGACCCTGAAGCAGCAGTGGTGGCTCAGGTGATTGGATTCCTGTCAATCATATCAGACTTGGATTGAGTTCCTAGCTCTTGGCTTTGGCCCCTGCCCCCTCCAGGCAAGAGGGCATCTGGAGGTGAACCAGCAGTCAGCAGCTTGCTGTCACTTGGCCTCTCCAAAAAAAAACAAACCAAAAAACTATATGTTCTTCTTGGTAAGGTGGACCTAATTTAACTAGATTTTGCCATAGAGCAAGGGTTGTTTTTCAGGTTTCCAGTGCAAATATTCAAGGAGATTTTTCATAGAAAGGCAATAAAGTATGACATGTTAGATACTATGGTGTTCCACCTAATGGTGTTCATCTGGACTTTGAACTTACTGAGTAGGGCACTTTATTTATAATAATGAGCTCCAATCTTCTAAATGCTCCCCAACACATCACATTTGGCGAATGTCGTATTTAATTTACAACAACGACCCTCAGCCATGGAGTAGGGAGACAGAAAGCAGCTCTTCTCTGGGGTTGCTTTTTAGAATTTGAGTAGTGAAGTGAAGTTTGTACATAATATGAAAATCTCCCTTTCTCCTTCATCCCACCCTCTTTGGTCTCTGTTGTTTATATCCCAGTTCTTTAATAAGTAGCCATAGGTATCTAATCTCTTGTACTTGATATACTCATTTATAAAAGAAGCTTACATTGCTGTTTTATTTCCTTACACAAGTATTAAAATCCAACAACTATTTTGAGAGAGAATCTAGTTTTATTTTATAGCTCCAAACATGTATGTTCATGTGAAACTTGAATATTGTGAAATATGTGCCTTAGAAATCTCATGGTGATGATATCTTGATTTTCATCCAGTCTCCTTTAGAACTTATCATAGAAACATCATTAGTTAGGAAAGCTCTGTGATGAAATAAAGCCATAGTTCTCTTAGAAAACTAAGTAACACTTTAATCAGATGATAAACATCTTAATTAAGGAACAAAGAATCTGAGTAAAGTGTTTGTCTCTCCTGGTCCAAATTAATTTTTTTTCCAAAAAGACAAACTGCATGCGTGGAGGTGTGGTTCTGATTAGCATGGTGCTATCAGAACTGCCACAGTCCATGTTTTCATTTTCACTCTTAAGTGATGCATGCACAAATTTTCACAGAAGAAAGAGCATAAAACCTTAATATGTAATGGAACTGCCATTTTTCTTAAACAGCCCAGGGCTTTAAAATTATGCCTGGAGAGACTTGTGTCTCTGGAGGTTGTCTAAAGTATAGACACTACGGGACATCTCAGGCACCCGTCTCCTACTTGTATCTAATACAGAGAAAGATCTTACGGATGCAGCAGACTTTAATATAGGCTGTGCATGACTTTTTGGGGGGCACATGTATGTCTAGGCCTGTGGCCAAAGGTTTAGAGTCCACGTCATGTGGAAAATACTTTCCCTAAAGGTCAAGGCGTGCTGACAACTGCCTTCTTCCTACATCAGCACATAGCCTTCCCTCTGTGTGTGTCTGTCTCCTAATCTCTTCTTTTTATAAAGACACCAGTTTTATGGGATTAGGATCCACTCTATGCCCTGTTCCCCTTTAATCTCATTACCTCTTTAAAGACCCTGTCACATCCCACAGTCCTGGGGGTTAGGACTTCAACATAAGAATTTGGGGTGGGGCAGTCACAATTCAGCCCATACTAACAACATAAGTGAAGAATAAGCAGGAAGAAATTATTCATCTTATAGAAAAATTTATTGAAATAAAAACTCATTTCTCTCTGCCATGGAGAGCTGAGTTAAATGATACTTCTATTTTTTTAAAAGATTTATTTATTTACTTGAATGTCAGAGTTACACAGAGAGAGAAGGAGAGGCAGAGAAGGAGAGAGAGGTCTTCCATCCACTGTTTCACTCTCCAGTTGGCCGCAATGGCTGGAGCTGTGCCAGTCCGAAGCCAGGAGCCAGGAACTTCCTCTGGGTCTCCTACTCAGTTGCAGGGGCTCAAGGACTTGGGCCATCTTCTGCTGCTATCCCAGGCCATAGCAGAGAGCTGGATCGGAAGTAGAGCAGCCAGGATTCCAACTGGTGCCCATATGGGATGCCAGCACTGAGGGCGGCGGCTTTATTCATTACGCCACACTGCCGGCCCCCAAATGATACTTCTAAAACTTTAGTTACTTACATAGAACCTTCACAACTTTTTCATCACTACCTGTGCTATTTTAGTTTATGACACCATTTAGTGTCTTAGTAATTTTTCACCAAAGAAATAAACTCCTACTTCCATTAGGTCCAAATAACTTATTAAGTATCAGGTCCTAGCAACTAAGTATCTACTTGAAAAAATAAAACATATAAATGGGAAAAAAAAATGGGATTTTGATTTAACTTTAATTTTTTAAAAGTTATTTCTTATGAGGAGGGCATTTGGTATAGCAGTTAAGATACCACTTGAGATGCCTGTGTTCCATACCAGAGTACATGCGTTCGTGTCCTGGCTCTGCTTCTGCTTTCAGCTTCTTACTAATGTGCATCCTGGGAGCAGATGATGGTTCAAATACTTGGGTCCTGCCAACCCATGAGGGAGACTCGTATTAAATTACAGGGTCCTAGCCTCAGGCTGGCCCAACACTAGCTGTTGTGTGCATTTTGAGTAAGCAAATAAAATGGAAGATATGTCTCTGTTTCTCTGCCTTTCAAATAAGTTTTTAGAAATTTAAGCTTTTAATTCCATTTTTCCATGTCTTTAATATTTTTATTTTTTATGTTTTTAAATTTTATATTTGTTGAGAGACAGAGAGAGGGATTCTATCTACTGATTCACTCCCTAAATGCTCACAGCAGCCAGGACTATATGAGGAGCAGGAGATGCAGTCCAGGTCTCTCACATGGGAGGCAGGAACCCAGTTACTTGAGCTATCACCATATGCTTACCAGGGGTCTACATTAGCAGGATGCAAGAGTTGGGAACTGTGGGATACAGGCATTTTAACTACCAGGTCAAATATCCTCCCTGAAATTTTTATTTCAAACAACCTTATTACTTACCAATAGGACATGTATGACTTTCGAGCTATGCATAACTCCTAGAACTGCAGAATCAGACTGGATAACATACTCATGTTGCCCATTCCATATTGATGTTCACAGGGTACATTTTTTTTTTCATGGCAGCAACCACCAGAAACCCAGCTTTGCAATGTTACTATGTGATCAAAAAGTATGTAGCATAGTCTCTCTTGCTGAAATGGAGAATCATCCTGAATTCTCAAGGTGCTATTACCATTTTCCTTCAAATCTAAAAATTTTTCCCAGTAGCCCATAAGTTCATTTTTCATACCTTTGGGTAAAAGTGCAATTTGGACACCATGGAACATTATTGCCATTTACTGAATATTTACCGTTTGTCAATTCATGTTTAAAATTTTTATTGTTATATTTCCTAATTTATCCTCATTTTAAACATTAATATCTGTGAGACTCTATTTTTAATATATACCATCTAAAAAATCCTTTCAAGTACTACTAGTGGTTACCTCTATACTTCATGAATTAGAGTTTATTAACTTAAAGAAATTAAAAACATTTATTTTGAAAACTTATTGTCTTTCTTCTAAGTGTCTGAAGTTTTTTTCAAAGACATTTTAGAGCAGTTTTAGGTTTATAGCAAAATGCATTGGAACCTACAGAGATTTCCCATATACTTACTTCTTACTCCCACACATGCCCAGTGGCCCCCACTCAACCTCCTTCACCAGAATGGTATGTGTGAACATACACTGACGTTTCAGTATCCTCCCAAAGTCTGTAATTTTTCAAATTTTTAAAAGAAATTTGCTCAACATCTAATACTTCTTTTATATAACATATAATACATTATTGTGAACTCAGCTGCCCCACTGTGCTATGGAACACTAGAACTTACTACTTCTTTCTGTTTTTGGTGCCTGTTCTCCAAATTCCGTCCAATCAGCATTCACTCTTGGTACTGTAGAACATGCAAGTTTGGACAAATGTGTAATGCATATATGAACCAGAGTTGTCTTGCTGCCCTCAAAATTCTTTGTGTTCAGCCTGATTCCAGTGTCTGACTTTGACTTTTATTACAGGAACTTGAAATGCAGGCTCGAGCTCATGGACTTTCCCTTATCCCGTCCACGGGTCTCTGCTCTCCAGATTTGGTAAATCGGATCATCAAGCAAGAACCTGTTCTTGAGAACTGCAACCAAGAACTCCTGCAGCATCATGCAGACCTAACTTGTTCCACAACTCTTGATCTCACAGATGGTACCATCACCTTCAACAATGGCCTTGGAACTGGGACTGAGAGCAGTCAAGCCTATGGTGTTCCCACAAAAATGGGATCCAAACTGGAAGACATCCTGATGGACGATACTCTTTCTCCTGCTGGAGTCACGGATCCGCTCCTCTCATCAGTGTCCCCCGGAGCTTCTAAAACAAGCAGCCGTCGGAGCAGTATGAGCATGGAAGAAACTGAGCATGCTTGTTAGCCAGACTCAGCCCTGTGTTCTCACAGACTGCTTCCTATCTCGATCAGATTTCATAATTTACCTGAAGGGGTTTTCTTGATAATTTTCCTTTAATATGAAATTTTTTTCATGCTTTATGGATAGCCCAGGAAATATTTTATTTTTTAGAATTTTATGAAACAGACTTGTATATTCTATTTTGCAACTACAAATGCCTCCAAAGTATTGTACAGTAAGTGTGCCATATCTGTGAACTGAATTTGCCATAGACTTGAGCTTTCTGAGCAAGAGGAATTTGCATCAGAGAAATGTCTGTCCATTTTCATTCAGGGGAAACTTGATCTGAGATTTTTATGCCTGTGACTTCCTTGGAAATTAAATGTAAAGTTTAATTGAAAGTGTAAAGCAACTAAAAGAGAGAAAGAAAGAAAGTTAGGAGAGAGAGAGAGAGAGAGAGAGAGAGAGAGAGAGAGAGAGAAAAGGAGACAGGGATCCATACTCTTTTCCATTTTATAAATGCATTGATTCATTGGTACTGCCTTAAAGATCCAGTACCCTTCTAGCATCATTTAGCTTTATATTGCAAACTATTTAAAGAACTACTATATCTTGTAAAAGACCAAAAAAGAAGAAGAAAAAAAAAAAGAGCAACCATTTTCATGAAGATTGTTTTGTCAAAAACCATGACTAAATGACTGATACCAACACAAGGTGAAGGGTGTTAGACCCAGGCTCTGAAACAGTCAAGTCTTACTGTTTTCTTCTGTGCTGTTACAGTTTTCTTCATTACTGAATTGATGAGTGTCATTCAGTTTTTCATAAGGTGGACTTTATTTTGGAATGGAAATGAATGTCCTCTCAAAGTACAATATTGAGGAGCACTGAAAGTTTGTTTTGCTTTTTGTTTCCATTTTTGGTTTTGATAAGACAGCTGAACTGGGCATATTTCTAATTGGCTTTACTATTTTTGTTTTTAAATTATGTTTTATTCATTTGATTTGTACAGATTCTTTATTATCATTGTTCTTTTCAATATGTTTGTATTAATTTTTAAGAATATGCATCTTAAAATGGCAGGTTTTCAATATTTTTACAACTCACTGGTGGTTTTCCGCATTCTTTGTACACCCAGGAAAGAAAACTTTTATGCAAGGTCTTGTGCTTAAAGAGAGCTTTGCAGATATTTTGTATATTACAATCTCATTCAAAACTGGTTTTCAATACACATTTAAGGTATAGTACTAGTAGGTTAAAACCAAGCTTTCTAGAAAGAATTAACTTACATATTTATTTTTAGAATATAAAAATAGCAACATTCTTGGAAACATAACCATAGCATTCTATGCCCGTGATGATCATTTAAATTGGGGTTTTATTTCAGCAAATCTGCTGAATTTTTTTAAAGAGAAAAATACTGTATTGGCAAATTACTGTTACTTGATAACAATGTTTTAACAAGCAGCAGTGTTGTAAAGGTAGTTGCAGTGCATTATCTACTTGTGTAGCCCTATGCAATAACAGTAGTGTTACATGTATCAAGCCTAGATATTTTGTACAGATGTCATAGAGTGTTAGGAGCCAGGCTGTTGAATGGGGTTACTCAGAAGCAGCCTACAGTTGAATAGTGACTGGTACAAAGCATATCCATTCAGAATGAAGTGCCTTAAATAGAGCAGTAGTCTTCTGGGGACTAGCACTGACTGAACTGTAATGTAGGAGAAAGTTTCAAGGTGGTATTAGTAGTTCAGAGGAATGTATAGCGTGGTGCCTATGTAGACAATATAAGAGCTTCCAATTTTCATTCAGATATTTTTAATATTAAATATATTTAGGGACTGAGTGCCAACTTCTTTCATCAGGAAACCCTATTCAGGAGGGTTTTTTTTTTTAAGTGTTTAAATGTCAAATGTGAATTGGTGGTGGGTGATGGAGGGGTCAGAGAGAAGTGATTGTCAGATGTTTGAATGATGGCTTAGGTGAAAATAATCAATTGTGTAGATCCCATGCACGTTGGGCAATGAGAATCCTTGGAAACATTGATGATGCTATCAGTTTTATAGCTTTATTACAGGGGGTAGAGAAAGTTAGCTCCCGTGCTTTCAACTCCCTTACTTATATAGCTCTTTTCCTAGAATAGCAATGCAAATCTGCATGAACAGCTAATTGTACCATAGTATTCATTGATACAATCATAGCATTGTCTATTTTTCTCTTCATATTTATATAAGGGGAGGGACTGGGTGCAAAAGCCGAAGACCTTGATGCTAATTTTCCTTAGTTGATTTTGAGGGTTTTTAGAAATAGAGCAAGATTGAGTAACCCGTGGCCGAGGTGATGTGGCCATGGGTAGGCAACCATATGAAAAGCTTTGTTGAGAGCAAGTATGGCATCTTGTACCACTGCCCTGACTCTTGCAACTCTGGAGTTTGACATCACCTGTTTTTCCCAACCCCTTCTGAAGAGACAATTTTTGGGGAGTGACAGGTGAGCAAGTCCAGGAGGATGCTGCAACACTGGGGGTGGTTTTATTTATTTCTTTATTGCCAAATAGAATGTGGATTCGTTTTAGGGACTAGTTAAGCCAAGAGGCAGTGGTTTGGGCTTCTTGTCTGTAACAAGAAAATGATCTGCACCACCTCCCCCACGCCTCTGGGTGCAGAATTCTCACTCGGGGTTGGACCTCCATATGGGGTGTCCAAAATGCCAAATTGTTCACCTGCCTCCATGTAAGGCAATGGAAATACCAAACCTTCTGACTTTGCCAAAAAACATACAGCCAACCTAACCTGGTCATGCCTTGGATGACAGAGTTCTTTCTGGTTGTTTTTAAACAATAAAGCAATAAGAACAAATTTTAAGAAAACATAAAAAGTTAAAAGACATAAAGCACAAAGGAATGCACTTACTAATATTTTTGAAAAATGCACTGGGGAGAAGTTGATATTGATAAGAGTATAAAATAAACCCCTATTTCTTGATTTTAAAAACATGACAAATGACTGTCTCTTGTGGACGCTTGGTACTGTAATGTTAATAATAGCCACCTGCTGTTGGATGCAGCAATAATTTCTGTATGGTCCATAGCACTGTATTTTATGGATCAATATTCATGTATCCAATGAAACAACTGAACTGTTGTTCTTGATAGCCTCATTAAAGCATTTGGTTTTTCACATAGTGCTGGCCAGTTGTGTTAATTACAGTTTTGAATGTTGTTTGCCTTATCAAAAAATAGTAGTGTACATTTTCTTCTAATTTAATGAATAAGAAATTGCATGAAAATTTTTAAAATGCCACTGAGTACTTTTTTTTTGTCTTAAATGCCACTCTAAGATGTTGCTTTTCAGTTTTAAACACTTTTGATTACTTTATGACTTGCACTCAGATGAACATAATTATGCAGCTTTTCTTTCCCCCTCTGAATTTGGGGAGATTTTAAACTCCCAAATGCCAAGAATTCATTTTACCTATAGGAGTTTTATTTAAAGGGTTTCAGTGAGAGGTGGCTTTACAAAAAGAGAAATTGTCAGAGAAACCCTTGCATATTTACAGAAAAGATATTGGGTTTTTAAAATACAAATTTACAACAATGAAAGCTTAATATACCCAGGCTGCCAGCTCTTGACTCTTTTTTTTTTATACAGTACTTAAGAATCATTTGATAAATGTTGGATGTGAATTGGGAAGTGTCAGACAAAACATGTCTTTATTCCCTAGCCAGACCTTAAACTTCTGCCCTTTTAGAAAAAATATTCTGTTTTAACCTCTGGAGAAAATGAGCAAGAAACTTCCTGTAATGCTTCTAATCTGTCAGCTTTTTCTTAAGTCTAATTTTTCTTGAAATTATAATACACAGTAATTGAGGCCTTTCTTTTTCAGAGTTATTTGAATTATTTATATTTCCCATAGAAATATGACTGTATGAAGTTTCAAAAATGTGTGAAAGTAGGAAGATTTCCTCTCTGAACAAGAGAATTTTTGGGGGCAAATAAAAAGCAGGTGAGTTGAAAGTTGGATCTTTTCCTCTCAGGAGAGTTCAGTAGTATGACTTTAACCCAAGTTTCTGCCCTGGAACCTGTCTATTAGCAGTCATTTCATAGCCATGAAGATCATGAACATCCAGCTTCCACCATACCCATATGTGCACACTCCATGTAATTATTTATTAAGGCAATGTAACTTGAACATCTGACATTCACCTACAATTTCGAAAACTCTGTCATATATAAGACATATTTCTTGAAATTTTTACATAGTCAATCTTCTAAAAAATTAAGTCCATGAAATGATAAAGCATGGGTTCCTGGCTAAACTTTCTTTGAAACTTTGCCCATTTCCAGCTATGTGATTTTGAGCCAGTTAATTTGGCCTCCCTGTGCCTTGATTTCCATTCTGTTTATTGGAAATAATAATAGTAGCTACCACAGACTGGTCTTGTGAACACCATTCAAGTGAGTACACTAGCCCATAGTAAATGCTCAGTAAATGGTAGTCATTTTTATAGTATGATCATAATCACGTTTATTGTTAAAACTGAAAATACTTTTCAGGAGTAGGAATTTGGTAACATGGTTAAAATGTCATTTGGGATGCCCACATCCCATATCAGGATACCCAGGTGTGAGTCTTGGCTTTGCTCTTTGCCCCAGCTTCCTGCTAGTACACATTCTAGTAGACAGCAGGTGATGGCTCAAGTGTCCGGGTCCCTGCCACTCAAATGGAAGGCTTAGATTACATTCCTGGCTCCTGGTTTCAGCTTGATCCAACCCAGGTTATTTGAGGAATGAACCAGTAGATGGGGGACCTCTGCCTATCTGTCTGCCTTTCAAATTAAATAAATATTACTTTAAAAATAAAATGTTTTTGGGATCCTCCCAAGCCATCCTATGAATCAGCAGTGACATAGATGCCACATTTGGAGAAACACTGCATTGTAACTAGCATTAGTCTAATATTTGTGTGATTTGGCAAAGGCAACAAGAGCCATGGGCTAGTCTGGTGAAGAGGACCTGGGGTTAGAATCTTTTACAGAATCAATATTAAACCCAACTTATCACATTTAGAAAGCATCTTCAGTGCAAATGACCTAAAATCTACATTGTGTTATATCCATATACTTTGCATATGTGCTGCTGCCATGAGAGTAATTATACTACATTATTTCCAGAAAATATGCCTTGCTGAGGCTGAAATTATCATATTCCCTAGAGAATTAAACTTGGTAATCCTTTGTGATATGCACTGATGTTATATAGCTAAGTGTGGTGTCTTGACTATATCCTGTCTGTTCACTTTCCTATCAATATTGAAATATTTTTTCAGAGTTTTATTTTCAAATTGTGCTTAGATGTGATCAGTTCTTTAGAATACCATCTGAGGAGTTAATCTTCAAAATCTAGACCATATAAATGCACCTTTAGAATTATTCTGTTTATGTGTGTGTGCGTGTGTGTGTGCGCGCGCGTGTGTGTGCCAAGATTTAACACCCAGCCATGAGGAAAGGTCATTTAAGGGGAGTACTGTAAAGTTAGAATTTCATTTTATTTAGAGAGAAGTGATGATGATTTATTAACTTTTGAGCCATACTGAGGCTCAAAAGCAGTGGCTTCATGAATTCACAATCTACATCTTGCACAAAGTATAAACGAAGATGCTACCATTATCTCATTTCTCCTAAGAGGCATGTAAGGCACCCCATTCAAAGAAATTAAACAGTACATTTGACATATTAAAACTGTTAATTCCTGTACACACATAACATGGGTAATCATATCTGTGTTCTTTTGAGCCTATTACCTATACCAGATATACTGGAAAGTAATGTGAGTATACACAAAATCAAATAAATCTTAGCAACACATCGCAATGGTAAAGACAGTTTGCTTTGAAAAATTTGCATTTTAAATTTCTAATTATGGAATCAGTTGAAGATATATCCAAATGGGTGCAATTGTCACTCAAAATTCCTTACATATTATTCAGGCAGCAAAATCTGTGTAGATAGAAACCACTAAACTAGTGTTTCCCAAACTTTGCTTTATGGAACTAGTTTCACAAGCTGTTCAAAAAACCTTGGAGAATGGGAGTTTGGAGGTGGGGCTGGGAGGCGAAATGCTGTAGTTAATTTTGAGAAAGTTAACTTGGGGAAATGCTGGGCTAAACAAATTTGAACAGGCATCTCTACTGTAAGACTTCTCACATTCTAAAATATGCTAATGTGCCTTGAGAGTTTTCAGGACTGGGAATAGTATATCATGTTTCTCAATCTTATTTGGCCATGGGAGTGTGTGTGTGTGCATGTGTGTGTGTATCTGCACACACACACGTGCTCACTTGTATATCCCCATGTGTAGAACACTTGTTAGTGGTTCCAAGGACCATAGTTTGGTAAATTTTACAGATATTAGATAGCAATAAAAAAAACTTCTATTTGTATATGATGCTGCAGGAAGAAATAATTGTCATTAAGATTCATTGGTCCTAAAAAGACAAATTAACCTAGGGTTTCATCTCCAATGAAAATATGGAATTCTGGTTATGGAAACTATTGCTATTTAAAATATCTTATTCTCCAGTTTAGGAAGTAGTGTGTATTTATTGTCAATGAAAATACAAGTATTAGTAATACATACATTCAATGTACCTTTTCTATGGTAAAACTAAAAGGATGTTATATTGCATGACTCCCACTTTTTAAAATATGGACAACCTAACGTTTGGGATGTAAGGTGGTGATCTTGGCTACAGGATATAATTGGTTTTTAATTTTAGGTCCTGATCATGGGTTTTTGGTAGAATAGCATTAGGAAGAATTATATGGCACTAAATATGACATAGAGTTGTCTATGATTTCTTCTTTTAAGGGAGGTAAGTCCTAACAGATGGATTGGATTGTATCTGAAAAGATGTTAATTGGTAGTGAGCCAGTCCACGAAAGATGGATGAATCATGCACTTGCAGTATATTAGAGTACATACAAACATTGTTATAGAATTTAAAAACCCGAATTACACAGCCTGAGGATATATATTTTTTATTGGCACCTTTTCTCTACTCCTTGCAGATGAGATAAGAGATTTCCTTCATTTGGTATCTTTTTCAAAGTATATTTTTTTCAACCTCTAGCCTGCCCAAAGAGTACATGGTGAACAGAGGAATACTACTCCAGTAAAATAATTTATTGGCTCATATTGTTATAAAGTCTAAAAGGTAAATGTGGCTTCATGCACACCTGGCTTCAAGGTCTCAAATAAGACATTTGATCTTCCTACCTCTGATTTTCTTGTCTCTACCATCCTTTTTGCAGACAGCTCTTCTCCATGCAGCCCTATCTGGAAGTTTCAAAGTCCAGTGGAAAACCAGAATGCCTTTCCCAGTGGGTGAAGTCCCTGTATTCCTTCTGATCAAGCCATTAGGCCTGCTCGGGTCAGATCAACATGGCCAAATGATGGAACACACTAGTTGGTACTCTTAGCACTACTTAGCAGTACCTAAATGATGTGGATCAAGAGAAAAATTCTCTTGATCAGTTGGACTTGGAAAGGGTAGTGCTACTTCCAAAAGGGGGATAAGAGAGTACAAAAAAACAACAGATTCATTACTGTAGTTTGCTATTTAGTTACTTAGGAAAAGAGAGACAGACAATCCAGGGATCTTCCATCTGCTGGTTCATGCCTTGAATGCTGGCAACACCTGGGGCTGGCTCAAATTCAGCTGGGGTTTCCTACATAGGTGGCAGGGACTCAATTATTTGAGCCATCAGCTGCAGCCTCCCAGTGTGCACCTTAGCAAGAAGCTGGAATCAGGAGCAGAGCCAGCATTAAAATCCAGGCTCAGATATGGGATGTGGGCATCCCAAATGGCTTCTTAACTGCTGTACCAAGTACCCATACCCATTACCACAGACTTCAAGAATTAGACATGCCTCACCTCTGCCAACTTCTTGCCTCTCCCAGATGCATCAATTTGGTTTTTTTTTCTTCTGCTGTCTTTAACCCCAAAGTGATGGAAGGCAAGGGAAATGAGGTATTAAATTGCTGTAGCTGGCCGGCGCCGCAGCTCACTAGGCTAATCCTCCACCTTGCAGCACGGGCACACCGGGTTCTAGTCCCGGTCGGGGCGCCGGATTCTGTCCCGGTTGCCCCTCTTCCAGGCCAGCTCTCTGCTGTGGCCAGGGA